TCTACCTCTAATTGTAAGTGGTCGATTCGGGGTACAAATTCGCTGTTCATCTATCCGCTTTTGATATCCAAAATGTAGTGTCATGGTGTTTCAGTTGTGAGTTCAGCATAACGTCTTTTCTTGTGTAAGAGGTTTGTTGATATGATTCAGAATCGGCGCTAATGATACAAATCCGTTCCCCATTAGAGCCGTGGTTTCATAGTTACCACACAACCCTTCCAACGATTTCATTCATTCCTCTTCAAGCATCCCTATGCAATAACTTTTACAGGTTACTTAACTGCTATTCCAGTATTTATCTTGCTATGGCAACCTTTACTGATAAACATATTCGGCTGATTCTATTCTCGGTAATACTGGGATTTCAAGCGGTTTTAGTTTTGAAGTATATTTTTTTAAATGTCAGTTGCGTAGTTTAATTGGTTACTCGTTCATCAGGCTCTTGATTTCTATTCATTGAGCGAGTATTTCATTAAGGGCTTCAACCAATGAGCGTTGTATCTTAAATTTTATGTATAGAAAACAGTGAATTGCCTCTGAATGTTTGGATTAATGGTGGCGCGGTCATAGCTGCATAGGAACTATTTGTATGTCTAGACTGTACCATGAGTTTACTGTCCATAAAATCATATAAAAGAATGTAATCGTACATACTGTTCGTAGAAATCGATAACTAGGTACTTGGCACTTGGATATCGATCATAATAATTTCAAGTAGTTTAGTTCTGGCAGCTGGGTAGCGTCGCTGGCTGTTACAGAAATACATGGCTCAAAGTTGCGTACATAAATTTGAGTTTTGACTAAAAAACAGCATTTGACTATGTATACCGAGATGTCCTGTAGCAGTGTGTCATTGAATGGTGTACACCAAAAGTACGGATATTTTATGAAGGCTCTTTACTCGAACACTACCAATCTAGTCAGAGCTTGTGGTGAGCTATCATCTGACTTCGCAACCTCACATGGTGTCCTGCAAAGCTGTCAACTATCTCCATTTTTGTTTAACTTCATCATCGACCTACTGCTGGAAATAACGTTTTCGTCGACTGAATTTTTAGGGATTGATCTTCCAGGAAGTCCACTTATAGACGTAGATAACGCAGATGACATAGTCCTGTTTGGTGAAGACGCTAATAAAATGCAGAATCTTTTCATAGCACTGAGCAACAATGCCAGAATGTTTGGGATGCGCTTCTCTCCCTTTAAATGCAAGTTGTTGCTTCAAGACTGGTCTACACCTGGACTGAGGATAGGGGGTAAAGTAGTCGAACGCGTCGACAACTTTACTTATCTTGGAAGTCTGGTCAGTCCTAATGGGTTGGTGTCTGACGAAATCTCAGCACGGATTCGAAAAGCTCGTTTGGCTTTTGCCAATAGCCTTCTGTGGGAGAGAACAAACCAACTTCCAGCTGAAGAAATTAGGGAAAGACGATGGAAATGGATAGCACATACATTACGCAAATCGTCAAACTGCATCACGAGGCAAGCCCTAACTTGGAATCCTGAAGGGAAGCGAAAAAGAGGAAGGCCAAAGAACACATTGCGTCGGATAATAGAAGCAGATATGAAAACGATGAATTACAACTGGACGGAGCTAGAAAGGATTGCCCAGGACAGGGTTGGATGGAGAATGCTGATGAGCGGCCTATGCTCCTTCACGAGGAGTAACAGGCGTAAGTAAGTAAGTAAGTAAGTAACTTACGTCGCGTATGGCGAAGGCGAGATATCCGTCTATCAATTAAAGGATGAGTATACTACTCGGCCGTTCGTTCTGTTCTACTTTAAGACTGTGAAACGTAGCCATTAAGAGTAGACGATGCTCGTAAGCTACTAGTATTTGATGACATGTCTTAGAAACATTGCCAGCGTCTGCTGGGATCACCGGGTAAGTAATAGTGAGGTCAGATGTACAGGGTATTAGGGAATGATGGTAAATCAGCTGATGAGGTTGTGAATCTTCATCGACTAAGGTGGTTGGGCCACATGCTACGTATGCCTGAACACCGATTACCACGATGCGCAATGCTGACTAGTGTTAGGGATGGTTGGAAAAAAGATAGGGGTGTCCAAACGATAATGTAGCATCAGTCCTTGAAGTCTAACTTGTGGTTTGAGCCATGTTGGTAGATGCAGACTACTTGGTTAGTGTCCGCGTGACTATTGTAACCAATGGTTGGAGACCCTTGATGACGTGGCCCAGAATCTATCATAATGGCGTAAGTGTATACACACTTTTTCTTCCTTTGAACCGTGAGATTAAAGTTGCTTTATACCTTCATTTCTACGAACTAATTATTTCTTCCGGTATTATGTCCTTATATGAAGTCTTTTTTATATATATTACCACCATTAAAGTAACTACTTTTATGGATTTGGTGTTTATCTTGTGCTAATGAGGTATGGCAACTTGGACCGATGCATATATGTGTCTGGTCCTACGTTATAGCTGACTGACTGATATTAAAAATTAACTACAATCTAATAGCATAGTATGGAACAACTCCTGTAAAGATTGAACGTACAACACACTATATAACTGCTCTAATAAATCACTGGAAAATTCTTCGTTCATATAATTGTGTTGTAGTCTGTTAACGATTGAGTCAATTGTCTAAATTATTAATCCACAGATTCATAATGGTTTGACCGAAAATTTCAACCGTAAAACTAGCCAATATGAAAAAAGGTTACTGATCATTATTTTGAAGAAAACTGGTGATTGTCAAATGTGTACAGTGAGGATTCAAATGACTATCATCAGTGATCACTGTTTAATTGTTAAATGATACTGTTAGGAAGATAACAAGTTATCTAGTTTCTTTGTCAAGAAATATAAATTTTTACAAGGATAACCCTCTCCCCTCACCTTTCCTGTTATCTTATTGGTTGTTTTCATCTATCAGTCAGTCAGTCAGCTACAACGTAGGACCAGGCACATATGTGCATCGGTCCAGGTTGCCATACCTCATTAGCACAGCAAGATGAACACCGGATTCATAGGAGTGGTTAGGTCAAAGGTTGCAATAAGGATATAGTATAGGAAGAAAGAATTAGTTCGTAGAAAGAAAGATATGAAGTGATTTTAATCTCTTAGTTTAAGGGAAGACAGAGAGTGTATACACCTACGCCATTGTGATCGATTCTGAGCCATGTCACCAAGAGTCTCCAACCATTGGTTACGAAAGTCACGCGGACCCCAACCAAGTAGTCTGCATCTACCAACATGGCTCAGACTAGAAGTTAGTGACTTCAGGCACTGATGACACGTTTTGGTTTGGCCGCCCCTAACTTTCTTCCAACCATCCCCTACACCGGTTAGCATTGCACGTCGTGGTAATCGGTGTTCAAGCATACGTAATACGTGGCCCAACCATCTCAGTCGATGAAGATTCATAACCTCATCAACTGATTTACCATCATTCCCTAATACCCTGCGTCTAACCTCACTATTACTTACCCGGTGATCCCAGCAGATGCCAGCAATATTTCTAAGGCATCTGTGGTCAAATACTAGTAGCTTACGGGTGTCTTCCACTCTTAAAGGCCATGTTTCGCTGCCGTAAAGTAAGACAGAACGGACTGCCGCGCAGTATACTCGTCCTTTTATTGATAGACGGATATCTCGCCTCCGCCAAAGGTGACGTAAGTTGGCAAAAGCCAAACGAGCTTTTCGAATCCGTGCTGAGATTTCGTCAGACACCAACCCATTAGGGCTGATCAGACTTCCAAGATAAGTGAAGTTGTCGACGCGTTCGACTACTTCACTCCCTATCCTTAGTTCAGGTGTTGACGCAGACCAGTCCTGAAGCAACAACTTGCATTTAAAGGGAGAGAAGCGCATCCCAAACATTCTATAGTTCAATTTTGTTGTACTTCGAAAGTGGTTTTCTTTGGTTTGCATGTTTCTATACCTGGTCCTCACCCATCGTACACCCCCCCCATTGTTAGCTGATTATCTGATACCAACAGATAATGTTGATGGTCTAGCATATATTTTTTATCGCGGTGTAAGTACAGTAAGTAGGATGAATAGAGACCTGTTTTGGTGGGACTAGAGGATCCAATTCTATGCACTGCTTCCAATTCACGAGACATTATACGTGTGAAACTACATCAGACAAAGCGTTCTGAAGTGGTTTTTAGTCAAATGTAGTTATTTGTCATCATTCCAGCTTCTCTTAGAATCATCCACCAGAATCCCTACCCATCCACTCGACTAGGATTGATACAATGGGAAACAGAAACATCTAACTTTATAATTTTCTCCGAAATGCTGAGACAGTTTATTTGAACTATGTATTGTCTTAAAACGGTGGTTTCAGGGCTTCTATCTTGATCCCAAGATTTTTCAAATTTGTTTGATGCTGTTACTAGTAAACGGATCCTAACTACGAGTATTCCTCGTGATGGTTAATCAGTACATCCCTGATGAACACTCAATACTAGATCAGCTACTGATCGATACAGTTTGACCAACTCACCTTTCATCCTCGTTAAAACTATACAATTCTCAGGCTTAGTATTCCAAGATAATATGAAGAAATCAAGCAATATTGTATAACCCGATAAAATTAATCATACTTTTCAAAAGTTTTTTCTTAGCAATCAGGCGTCAGTTTTTGCTTTCTGTGAAACGGTGTGGCTACGTGCACGTCGATTTAAACTGGTTAAGTATGCTAAATATTTATTTTTAAAAGTAACTAAAGCTATCTCGTCAAAGTCTTAAGTTTTTTTGCATTTCGTTTTTATGAATGTCTCACGATGTCAAAGCCCTACATAGCTTGGATTTGGATTGTATATAGGTTGGTAAGAAAAAGTTGAGCGTCGTGTCTATGGCAGTTTCCTAACCTAATATTTTGTTAATCCGGAATATTTATGCCACTAATACCAGTATTATTATTTTCACCTGTCTTTTAGCTCAAAAGTGACTCGGTCAAGATCGTAATTTATTCTGAGCAGTTAAGTCAGACGTCTTGAATGTGTCCACTTTGCCCGATGATATGAAGCGTAAAGGAAAGCAAAAGACTTCAAAACCTTCTGGACGTTATGGTTTAAAAGGCAGTTTGAAGTCTTACTATGGTGATTCTCAATTACATCCTGAATGTGGGTCACCAGATACAGGATCTAAGTCATCTCATGGTCTTTCAAAAACACCAGATGATACTTCCAGTGAATCAGTTCATAGCCGTAGTCTTCGTAATAGTTCTGTTGGAGATGATAACTTATCACAAATGGAAAGTCGTGGTCGTCGTGTACTAGACAAAAAGGGTCATAACGGAGATCTTGATCAAAACGTATTCAAGAATTTTGCAGATGACTATAGTAATGAGTCAAGGGATCGTGAAGGCTCTCTTCCAATGGGACTTAGTAGTGAACATGAACTTCCTTATGATGATGAATGTAAGTAGTTTATCAATTTTCATATTGTTTTATTCTTTTCTAATATTCTTTCTTTATGTTGTCTCTTCAGTCCTTATTGGTTTTACTATTTACTTCCGCTATCCGTTATTATACAAACTATTCACTCCTCTTCTCATGTTAGTATGCGTTATCTAAAATTTAGCAACTGATGTGACTGTAGCTTGATAATGAGTCTTATCACCTATTGTAATGAATAATTTTCATACTTTGTAACTAACATCACGAACGGGCTCTACTAAACAATTGTTGAAAACCAAGAAGCGGTGGTTGTTTATTTCATCCGTGTTATATGATTCACCAAGGACAGAGCCTCAGCACATTCAGGTTTTATGATAAGCGCTTACTGAGTTGGCATATAATGGTTTGTATTTATAACTTCAGTCGATCTGTGATATTTTGCTACTGTAAACCTATGGGTTGGCTTAGTAACTAAAACAGTCGGCTTTCAACTGGCAAGTCTCAGGTTTGTACCTCGTTTCATTTACATCATTTCGAGCAGCGAATTAGTACTTGTTATGACACTCACTCGATCATTATTACCAATAACCACTAACACCTATTTGATCATGCTTATTCTTTTATCATCGACCTCCCGGTTTGTCTCTTAATGAGACTCGAAAACGCATGGTTACATACACCAATTTAAAGATCACAAAGCATTATTGATGAGAAATTGCAGTCTTCACTAAACTGGGACAGTTGTGATACTAAAATAACTAACAGTTAAACAATTAATTAGGTGTAATTCATGAACGATAAAAGGCATTAACAGCCAAAAACTCAAATGATCGTTTGCAACTAGAACAGTATAAAAATTACAATGAGCTATTTATTAAATATACCATGTAAGCTTATAAAATAATCTACTAGAGAATGGCCCTCAAAGTTCCAAGTTTTCAATTATCTCCCCATATTCAACGGTATCACACAACTGAACTGTGTCTCAAGGCCCCCGAGTACATAAATAAGAAAAGTCACCTGTTTTCATCGGTAATAACTGTCTCATGTGCAATATGCTTAAACTTCATTGGTCAGTGACTAATTCTCATTAGTACTCGAAGTTTCGTTTTGTTACTGATGAGCACATGATCACTATTAGTAGTTCGGAATTTTCACCTGGAGATTACTCAATCCATGGTTTAAATTATGAAATGACTTTCTCTTGACAACCGTTGGATACACACACTGCTAAAGAGTTTTATACTAAGAAGAAACAGTTCTTCATAGGTTTCTGGTCTTTTATGGTGGTAGTCTAGTTAGGATGATGTAAAGACAAATTGAATAGTCTTCACTGACCTATACTACTAATTTACTTACTGATTGGTAATTGCTCTACTTAAGAGTGTTTTGACTGTGTTCCATATAATCAACAAATCGACTATTATTTGTTATCGAAATTCTTTATGTGTTCTTATATATTGGTTACCGTCTTATCAAAAGATCCAATTTTTAAAACTAAATAAATCCATCTCATTCTAAATTTCAAGTTATTTCTTATGTTAATGAATAGCGAATGGTTGTTAGCATTATGTTTCGTCACATTTTTTTTATCTTGGTCATTAGCTACTCGTGAAACTTTATCAACCAAAGATCTCAGCGGATCACATAATTCAGTCTTTGTTGAACCCCGTCAACCAGACAAAGGTAAGTTCTTCATTGCGTACAAAACAGCGGTTTATTTTTCTTTTGAATGTCAAGTCTACGTTTCTTTCTATATGTGTTAAAAACCGTAATTTATAATAATAGCTTAAAGAATCTTTGAGTTATGTTCTCTTAAGGTATATTATTTAGTATGAAATTATAAACATGTTTTACGCGAAAAGTGATAAATCCTATTACATACACGATCCAACGGCGAAAAGAGAACTAGATACTTGGCTCGTATTGGGGCCCATGTTGTCGGGTCGTTATTACAGTAACAGTTATATTTTCTAGTCTTACTATTGATTAGTTCGCCTGTATTGCCAGTAGGACCAGTGACCGATTTATCAAATAACACAGTAACCAATCATTCACAACCGAGAAAGTAACGTTTATTGGTCCTCAAGCTCCTTCAAACCTCAATGTCCAGTCAGAAGACGAAGATAGAATGCAGATTATTTCTCCAAAACACTGTTCGATCACAACTCAAAACTCATATATTAATATACTTTCAACGTCTGACTACATAGCAACACAGTTATAAAATTATGTATACATAACTCAGTCATAAATAATACAAATTCGCAGTAATAGGGAAATAATTAATGATAAATCTGGAACAATAGGATATAACAATTTATGCGTTAAATGGGAAGTTTAAAGATAGACACATTAGAAATACGACAATCTAAGAGTTTACTAATTATGTAATAAACAGTGTAAACAGTCTCTGAAGTTATACTTTCACACGACTTGCCTCATTGAATCAACACAATTTTAGAATGACGTAAGAACATCTAATTATCTAGTTCGAATCTAATTTCTCCAAGTAAGCTGAAGCAAAGAAATTGAGTTACATTATTTTTATAGTTTGTTTTTTTATGATGCGGATGTTTCGTGCTTCATTATTTTTACTCTTTATGGTTGGTTACTCAAAAAGCCTCAGTTCTTAAATTTGTATTTGTGTGTGTATGTGTTTCAGTCACAGTGGATTACAACAGTGCATCGCATACTCAAAGAAAAGTCAATAAACGTGAGCTAAAAGCGTTATTAAAGCAGACTAAAAAGAAACCATCAACTGTAGACGAGACAGTGATCGCTGCTATTGATGAATTGGCTATTCACTTGAAAGGTAAGTTTCACATTTAACTAATAATTGTGTTTATAATGTTTGATTTTATAGCTCCCTGCCTTTTAGTAATTTAATTTTGTAAAGTAGGTTTGTTCTTTTTTCTGATATTTTTGGTGAGAATACGGTCCGTCTTTTTACTAATTTATTTCATGGAAGCGTTTTAACTCTAAAACAATCTTTTACATATATAATTTTTATGTACACGAACACATTTTGTATGTTGCTCATTATTGGCGTCTGTTCTTAGGTCACCGATCGGATGCGTGGGGAAAACGGGGTAGTTATTAAGTTGTCACGGAATAAAGATTCTTGTGTTAAATATTCATCTGTTGTCTCACTAGGATCTTGACCACAGTTCCCAAAATCACAAACACAATTAGACTGATACTAGTTCTAAACGTCTGCAAATTGTCGATCACCAGAGTCGGCGATTACGATAAACACTGCTACTATTCTGTAGTTTTCAGTTTATCCGGCTAATACTTGTCTAATTAAGGTTTCACCAATACACTGTTTTTTTGTAATTGATTGTTGTTTCGACGATTCTGTGTTAACTGCTGTCTGTTATGAATTTACGATTTTTCTACTTATTATTCTTGAAAACATCTTTTGATACAGATACTTGTGTGATTGACACGAAACCAGTACCTCGTCGACCAATCCCAGTCGCTGTATCTCCTACTTTAGCCTCACGTCAATCTGAAACACCATCCCGTAGAGGTGTCGGTGCACGCAGAGGCGGCCGGAGAGGTCGGGGTGCTCGTCGTGGTGGTCTTTCTTCTCCTACTTCTACCACTTCCATAGAACAGACGGTTCTTCCGGCATCCTGGGTACCTCTTATCCTACCGAACCCGTTAAGAAGTCCCGTGACATCAGATCCTGAGGGTGATAATTTGGGGGTGAAGTCGAAGTTATGTACACCTTGGCTTCAACAACTTCCTGAATCGCGGGTGCATCGGTTTGTTGTAAGTTGTTAGTTTGTTTAACCATTTCACAAATTATCTTCATCTACTAGACGTTTGTGTTTGTTCTAATATCTTGTGTGTGATGTATAGTTTTCTGTGGGTGCTAGGAACATTTTGGTACGTTGGGTCAATCAGAAATCGATCAAATGTTAAGCACATGATGATTGACTGATAAATGGTTAGTTTTTCTAAGGGATATATATATAATTTTACTACAATACGGAAAAATGTTGATATAAGTTACTTTCTTTTTTTATCGCTATTTAAAAATTTTTTTCTCATATATTTCTCCTGATAATTATCAAGATTGACGAATACCAGAGGTCCCCATTATTACTATATTTTTCTTCAGCAAACGGATTTACTTTAGACTGTTGCTACCAATCTAGTTTAATCTTTATCTTGTTTTTTTATTGTAATAAATCTTTTTAGTTTAATCTTAAAGTCAGTATTTATGTGTCATCAAGTAATAAGTAATAATTTATCATAATCTATTCATGTATTAATGTTAATCAATTGTTAATTTTTCTTTGTTAGGTGAATATGCGCCGTCTGTTGGCGACTACGTTAAAAAATCCTATAGAAACTGAGCACTTATCTAAAAAACCTATTCAACTTATAGATTTAACATCAGACAAACAAGATTATTCTACTAGCGCTTTCGATAATCAATCGAAACAATTATCATTTCCACTAAATTCTAATGTACAAAATCTTGGTCATCATACAACAATACCCTCTGAGATAAAAAATACTGATCAGCTGCCTCTTATTAAGACAGTTGAAGATGTAAATCAAAATGATTCAAAGTTTATTTCAAATCCTACTGATGATTCTGCTTCGAAGTTGAATTTTAAACTTGTTGAAAGTACTACTGTCACACGTACATTGGTTTCTAGTTTAACTAAACGTCGAGGTAGAGGTAAAAAACACCATGGATTTCGCCGTAACTTTTCATCTGTACAGTCGAATATAATCGGTGCATCTGAATCAATCCCTTTGACAAATACTAGTCTTGTTTCATCATCATCATCAAATCCGACTAACAATCAACACGTAGAAACTAGTCAACATGTGATCCGAATGCCTGAATCAACTTCTTCTAAAGGTAAGCTTGTGTAGTTTTCAATCAGTACTTTCTTGCAAAATAATTAGTTTTTATTATTGTATTTATAAGTGTACTTTAGTTTCTAATTCCTGTCAGATTGGAAACTGTCACCGATACAAATTGCTGTTTTGTAAAAACTGAAGTTGTAATAATCATGTCGGATTATAGTAATTACTTTTGTTGATTATCATTTAGTTTTTAACAAGTTAATCAGTCAAATATAATCAACCTAGAACCTGGCACAAATGTGCAGCAGTGCAAGTTGTCGCGCTTTAACAGCACAGCAAAATGGAGTTATCAAAATGAACGACAAGTGTCTGGATTATAGGAGTATCAATAATAGTGCAAATACACACAAAGATATATATATGCTACGGCCATCGATTTCTATCCATTTCATCATGCTCCTCTAAGTACTTACTGTGGTTAATAAGCGAACCTTAACCAGGTATTCTGCAGTTATTAATATATCTCAGTCCGACAATCAGTGGTTTCAAAATATTGATACCACGTCTTGGTTCGCCCATTCCTAGCTTTCTTACAATCTATCCCCACTGCTACCAACATTCGATCTGGAATTAGGCGGCGGTTGGCGTACGTATTACGTGTGTCAGTCAACTCAGTCGAGAAAGACTCACAGATACATCAATAGATTTGTTATTTTTACTCAATAACACACATCCAAACACATCAGGTTCACTCGATAGTTCTACCATACACGAGCGACACTTCGGTAACATGTGTATTCAAGTATTAGCGAGCTAAGAATGTTCTCTGCCCTTAAATGTTACGTTTTACCTCCATAGAGTATGCTAAACATTTAAGGACTTATTGTCTGTATTATTCCGCTCTTATGGTTTTCAATGTTTTCAGTCACAATAATCTTTTACAAGTAAATGGTAATCGATAACAGTAGGGTATCGTCTTTGACTTCATCATATATTGCCCTGTCCCATCCAAAATTCGTATTGGAGTTTAGTTTCTGAATTTATTAGCATCATAGCACGCAGATGACTGATATAGGAGGCGCTGAATATTGTAGACTTCCCCTGACCTTGTGACTTCATTATTGTGTTTAGAACCGCTAGTAAATTTCTAAAGCTGTATTTGTTTGTCATCTACTGTCGGATTAAAACAAAAAGGTTCTCGGTGTTTATACGTAAGAAATGTAATTATAAAGCCTAAATTACGTGATGCGAAATGGACGGTAATTGTCTATAGTTCTAGTCTATTGATTCTAACAATTTTCTATTTACGGAAGAATTACGAAATAATTTTGTTGGGATCTAATCAACATCAACATTCTCGAGAAAGGTAGCTACAATTATATATATAGTGATTTTTTAAATTTCAGATCTATGCTAAATGTAGTCACAACTTTGTAAACATTTGAACTAAAATACACAAAAATGTAGCTCCAGTCATCAGTGAGATGTGAGATGTAAGAAAAAAATCACGACAAAACATAAGCTACTTACTAGTAGCGTAATCATTTTAAGTTACAATAATTGTTTTTCGTATTTTCAAGAAATTTCATATTCTCATATCAGTGTTTACATGTGGTTTTCAGGGAAATCTCGTGTTTCTCGTGAACTTCGTGGTCTTGTCACTTGGGACGCTGTAATGGCCGAACAACGCAAACGTGAACAGGAATTAAAAGACATCGAATCTAAAGGAGGATCTGCCTCACTTCATCCATCTGAGGTGACGTTATCAGTTGTAACTGACTTTATAGCCTCTGTAGAAGAAGAAGGTCTAACTCCTAAACTTCGCAGAACTCGACAAACTAGCGGCAGTGTTCCCAGCCATGTTACACATTCAGCTGTAGGATCTGATGCTGCTTCTATGCAAACCACAATTGCTGGTAGGTTTTTTTTATCTATTGCCTAATCAAATTTTAGTATCCATTAAAATAGGTTAAATATGAAATATTCATTAACTGTCTAGTACACAATCTCCTTGATCATCTGTAACATGAAAATTCATACACACTCATTTGGAATTCTCATATTTATCGCTCTACTTATTTTATGTTGATGATTTTTTTGAATGATTAAAATATTTTCAGTGTTTTTTTTATTTGTCTTGAGTTAAGGAGTAAAATATTTTATCTCACCCAGATAGATCTTACGAGTTGTGGCTTAGTAGTTATAGTGTTTAACTAAGTCGCTCGTTTGAACTCCACTTTTTACTTCCGTTTAAATAATCGGATAGTAACATTAGCTTTCATACATAAAGCGTGACTCAAAGCTGAAAGTATGGATCTGTACTTCGTAAGTATGTTAGATAAGTCAAATCTTATTCACGTTTATTGAGTTACTTGATATGATGACATTCACACACATCTATTTCAAACTCAACAGTGTACACTTAGAATAATTTTAATGTGGGTTCTTAAAAGTTCCTTTTTTCTAGTGTTATCTATGTTTAATCATTTTATCAATAAAGTTGAATTGTGACGGATAATAGAATCCAGGAGTACATTTCGTTTTATTTAGAACTGATCAACTGAATCTACATTTATCCTAATGCCCATGTTAATACTGAATCTGGAATCCAGTAATTTTCTCTTCAATCCCTGGATTTTATTTAAAATTTTTTAGTTTATTGGAAAATACGTATATCCATTATTTAATATCAACAAAGAAAAAAGTAAAAACCCTTACAAATCAAATACTTTATAGTTACTTTAATAAATTTGACAGTTATTGTATATTTTTTCATTGAGATCATGAATCGATCGATGTTAGACCACCATTGAAAACCTGGGAGCACTAGACGGCTCCTTGGCAGTGCGCATCCACAATCCCACACGTGTGATTGCGACCTAGGACCTTCGGTCTCGCGAGTGAACACTTAACTTCTAGACCACTGAGCCGGCATCCAGGTTTTCAATGGTGGTCTAACATCGATCGATTCATAATCTCAAATATTTAACAGTCTCCACAACCCCGTAATGATAGTTACTATATTCACAATTTCATGTTTTGTATGATTTCTATGATTTTGTATCAGTGAGGTTTATGAAACTCTAATTTTATGTTTATTCAATGAAGGACTTTTGTCCGATAAAAGTCTAAAGTTTGTATTTTTTTGGCATTAAACTTGTGCTAATTTGAAATTTTTGAAAAAAATATTGTTTGTGTACTTTACTTAACCGTCGTATCTTATACGTGGTAGCCTTCCCGACCACTTATTTATCAACTAATCACTTGACCCTATTAATTAATTTAATTTAAAGCTTCCGAACACACTAATTATGAAATAAATTGTCGTGTGAAACCGGGTGAAACATCTTCAGTAGTCGCATATTCTGGACTTAGTACTGAAGTGTCAAGTGTATCGTCGGATAATATAATTTCAGTTCAAAAAACAACCATTCATAAAACAACCGGTGACAATAAACCGTCTACTGGGAATAGTGCAGGTGAATCTCGATTGAATCATTCGGATTGTGATCAGAAAGTAAGTAATCTTTTTAACTGTATGCATGAATATTTTGAAATGACATGAAAAATTTTCTAGATTCATACTTGATAAGAATCATTATATGTCGACTAGTGACGAACTTCTAGAGGTAATTCCTAAAGTTTCAGGTTGAATGTGTTGCTAATGGTGCTTGTGATGACGGACCATATTTACCCAACCTAGTGAAATATGTTGAAAATTTATTCGTCGCTGGCTCAATAGTTAAAAAACTAAGCAGTCTTATATATATATATATATATATATATATATATATATATATATATATATATATATATATATATATATATATATATTTGTGGTCATGTTATATAAATAGCAAGACAGGTTTTAGCAAACTAATTCATTGCTTTATTCCATACTTTTTATCTGATTAACATTCATTTGCTATGACCGTCTTCAAAACACTGCTATTTTTCCGATTTCAGTGTTCGTTTTCAGTCACCTCAGATGCAAGCGAAATGGAATCTGCATGTGTTACCCAATATTCTCCAATTTCTGTAGAACAAGAACCAAACGAATCACAGCATGCTTCATTTGAACAACTTGATGACGGTGCATTTCAGTCGTCAACTACAGTTAAGCGGAATATCAGTCCCTTAAAATCACCGGGTCGTCGTAAAAAGAAGTACAAAATTAACCGGTTGTTTAAATCCCATCCTTGTGACTCGGATCGCCACCCGGAACAATATATACTTAATGATTCAGTATCTCAAAGTTCTGTTACTGTCGACTCTCGGCAACAATTTGACACCTCTTCATCTGTTTCATCTCTTCCTGTTCCTTCGGCGAAGCGTAAACGACAAACACAACATGGGGTTCTTACAAGTACAGATCCAATTCTTGAAGATCCCAACTTCGTGGAACAGTCTGCACGTCTCCAAGAAACTGACGGTTCTGATGCCTGTGATATTTTACCTACTTCCGCCTCATCATCACTTCCAAGCAACGTAAGACGTTCTTCTACTTCACGTAGCTCAGCTCTTCCTCCTCGAAAACGCTACAAGGTGGGAATAGATACATCTAACACCAATGAAAACCATGCTTCCTCTGTTATGGATAAAGATAATTTGAGGGATTTCTGTAAATCAGGTTTCAATGAGCCCAACTTGTCTGTAACTGTCATAGATTTAACAGATAATGCCTCAAGTACTGGAGTTTGTCATCTTGGAAATGCTGATATATCTCTATCAAAACCTGAACACAGAAAACGTGGTCGAGGTCGTCCGTCTAGACGCTTAGAAAGACTGGAAAGCAATAGTAATATACCAGTTTCCCCCTGCTTATCTTCTGACTCAGTTTCAGTAACTTGTGATCGTCCAAAACGTGAGGTAATTTGGAATCTCATATTCATCATTTATGATTGTTTTTTGATTTAAAACGTCTGCTAAACTATTAAAAGTCAACTTAACTGAAACCTGTTCGATGATGACATACAATTATATGTACATGTATGTGCAAGTAACAAATAAATTGTCGAAAGCAATCATTACTTATTAAGGTATTCACCATAAAATTTTCATCATCTCTATCACATATTGTGAATGCTCATGACTGTCAGCCCTCCCTTAGTTAGTTGGTCTATATGACAAGTACAGTATCTGATAGATGAAGATGTAAATTTATTGAATACCATTATCATCATCTGTTAGCCATTCGTTGTTGACACCGTTAACATTAATAGTAGTGACACAGTAAAATTTTATGTTTAATTATTAATCACTTGCCTAATGTGGAAATTTTGAATGATTGAAAATTTATTCATTTATTTAAACCCAAAAATATTTGTACAACTGGACACAGAAATAATTATGCACCATGGAGTAAGAAAACGAAATTGTAAAGTGACAGATGATGGAAAGTGAATACTATCTAAAAAAACCCCAATTAAATGAGTAAAAAAAGTAGTTAAAAGACAATCATATATACTGGGAGAAATACTTCATTTATAAAATACAACTGGAAAAAATTCTTTACACTAAAAGAGTTCATCTGTCTTTTACGAAAAATTTACAACTGAAGCTCCATCGACTTCCACTTTGAGCAATAGATAATCACATCTCAAGCTACTAATTTATATAATATATAGAAATTCAACTAGCGAGTCTTGGTAACTCGATATATGCCATTCATAGATAACTTTCTTTCATACCCCGGTACTGTGTTGTAAACTGATTACTTCTCTGCCCCCGAATATTCTGGTACGGCCGAGGGTAGAAAGAGTCAACTCTCCCTCTCGAAATGCTCTCACATAATCACGTGCATACAACCACTGTCAGGGAAGTCCTCTTCACCTCCTCACACGACGGGTGTTGTTTAAGAAACTGAGAGGACGAAAAGCGAATGTCCGGGTTGGTGGATTCACCTAGGGGAGTTGGAAAACTCTGATTCCAAACCAATGATGAACATGGACTCCAGTATCCTGAGGGAACAAATGGCGTATGAACCAATCGTTGGTCGCCGACTACCTTGGTATTGCATCTCCTGACGTTGTTCCATTGCGTTGTGGATTAGACCTTTAATTCGAAGGCCCCGGGTGATGTTTCAAAATGATCCTACAAGTATGTTATTATCATTACTGAGATAGAACACAATTGCTGAATCTCCATCAGTACTAACATGCTGTTACCACCGAATGTTAGCAATCCTTTGGAGGAAAGTGTAACGAACGATAGATGATGTGGCATCAAATTGAATGTGAGTAATTGTCACCAAAAGCATTATAAATAGTTATCCATCCTAATCGTTTCACTAACACGGTGTATCCGATACAGATCAGTTATTTTATAATTAACTTAGTTGATAAAACTGTACTATAGTGATGACCTTGACCATCATATCAGCTAGTCTTAAGACAGTGTTTAATTTACAGTGAAAATATAGTAAGATTACAATGGTTAAACAGTTTTGACATGATAATTAAAGTATCATCACATGTTGAACTAAATACGACCGTAAGTAAAATGGAGTTAGAGTTAGGGATTTGTGGTTAAGCTAATGATAGCAGTTATGATAATGATTTAAGGTCGATATTTTTCTTATTGACACAGGCACCATTGACTATATCCTGAATATCACATCAAGTGTGTTCAACGAGCAATTAGCGTTTTAGATCCAATCTGTACTAGAAACTGGCGTTTCTTGCAATTATGCTTACACATCATGTCATTGTTTATAGTTTAGTTGACACAAAACATAAGTTTATCAATCAATACAGGCATTGTTTTCTTGGCTTTGGGGAAAATACAGACTATCTGTCTATGGGTTTTGACTTTCTTGCCAAAATTTCAGAGGATTTATTTGAAATTTGATTTGATTGTCAGTATAATGTAGTTTGATTTCTTAATGAAAAATATTGTTCTATACATACATTTTTACTCAATGTAAACTCTTAAAATTATTTTGTAATCAAACGACTTTGATCGACGATTTTGTATGTTGTTACTTAAATCACTACCAATAAATCACTAAAACTCAATCTCCACAACCCTACACTGATAGTTAACGTGTTCTCGCTAGTGCCTAGTTTCGAGAAAGAATCCTATAAGTTCTGACGAGAAGCCGTCACCAGTGGAGTTCAACTGTGTCGTGTGTGATGCAGTTACCAACCAACATTAATACCGTGGGACCCCAGCCTAGTGGTTTAGTGATTAACTGTTCGCGCACGTAATTGAGGTTCATACGTTTGAGTCCCGTGTGCGGAATCATGGATGCGCACTGTCGAAAATTCCCGTGCTAGGACGAAACAGCTGTTCAGTTCTTCCGGGTTTGCAATGGTTGTCTATCATTTATCGGTTCATGATTTCAATAAACAGTTGTTCTTTTGATTGATATTGACCTTCATTTCACTGTTTCCTTTTTTCATGCCATTGATTTTCAAGGCGGCAGCGATGGGATTTGCTAGTTTAGTTGCTGCAAACTTGAATAATACTGGTGTCGCTATCAATTCTGCACCAGAAACACCAGAAACTATTAATGTTAGATCGGAAACTGGAAGTTTACCATCTCCTACTACAAATATCAGTTGGGTTGAACAACAACAACACATCGGAACTTTAGAAATACAAGCCTGTAAGCCAACTGTATCTCGAGGTCGTGGTCGCCCTCCTAAGCCCAGACCTATTCAATTACCCGTTACTGAACATGTGCTAAATCGAAGTCAGTTTTGTTATATTTCATTTCATTGAATTTCTGTTCACTGTTTGTCGTCTTTCATGGTCACGGTAATTTGAGTCAGCACACTAAACAATGGTGTGCTGTATATTACTGACTAACAGACTGACTTTATAGCTAGTTACTTCCTAGACATTTTATAACAATTATGTTGATTGTCTCTAGATATAACAACCTACAATCACTAATAAAATGGGTCCTTACAAATTAACCGGTCCTAATAAGTAAACGGTTGTTTTTTGGCTAGTAGTATTGTGCTTCGTTCGATTATTTGGTTTACATATAAAGAGCATTGCACACCGTGGTTAGCTGACAACTATCCCTATGGACCTCCATTTCCTTTAGCAGAAGCTGTATTGTGTGGTCATATGGATTTCTGGAACGAATACTTCGACTTGTCGATGCTTTTATTCAACTTGTAAAACAACCGTTTACTGTTTTATTGTACGAAATAACCATATTCTGTTAATCAAATTATCGTTTATATTTTATTTTATTAAATGTGATAGATTTTGACCTAAGATATTGTTCAAGTTTTATGATGATTTTTCAACCAATAAGTTAGTCAGTCGAATGCAACATAGAACCTGGCACATGTATACATCAGTCCAGGTTGGCATATTCAAGTAGGACAGCGCTATGAAACTGGGTAAATCTCAGGTGTAAATGTAGTCGCAAGATTATTAGTAGTAATAGAAAAGATAAGTCATCTATGATACAGATCAACAAATCGTATAAATTGATATTCGTTTATTTTTCTGTGAACCAGAGAGTTATAGTATAATTGATATTTTCACACTGTTATCATTTTCAGGTGCTGTGGATTCAGAGAACATGTTGGATTCAATTTCAAGGTTTGTCGGTTGTTTTGTTTTATAGTTAGTTGTATCTATAACGTCTACTCTAAACATTTCAATTAATTACTATCACTACTTTAGGGTAGACTATTCTGTTCAGATATATTATATCATCCTTTAGGAATCATTGCTGGCAAAATATCCGGAATCGAGAATTCTAACGTCAAAGAAATGTTCATCCCTCATGTCAGTTTTTTTCGTATTTCGTGAATCACTGGCTCTTAGTCAGCATCTAGCGAGTATTAAACAATTACTTATGAATTTCGATAATGTAATAAGAAGACGAAAATTATCAGAATTATGTGATATATTAGCGCAATACATTTCGAACGATCTGATCATACGAAAATTCAACCCCCCTTTGTCTATTCAAAAACAGTTTGTTCTCTCCGTAAACCTTACTTACCTACTTACTTACGCCTGTTACTCCCAATGGAGCATAGGCCGCCGACCAGCATTCTCCAACCCACTCTGTCCTGGGCTTTCTTTTCTAGTTCCATCCAATTCTTGTTCATTTTTCTCATGTCTATCTCCATTTCCCGGCGTAATGTATTCTTTGGTCTTCCTCTTTTCCTTTGGCCTTGAGGATTCCACGTGAAGGCTTGTCTTGTGACGCAGTTGTATGCTTTCCTCAATGTGTGTCTTATCCATTTCCAGCGCTTCTTCCTAATTTCCTTCTCCACCGGAATCTGGTTTGTTCTCTCCCACAGTACGTTGTTGCTAATAGTATCCGCCCAACGGATCCGGAGTATTTTGTGTAGACAACTGTTAATAAACACCTGTATTTTCTGGATGATGGCTTTCGTAGTTCTCCAGGTTTCCTCCACATACAGTAGAACTGTCCTGACATTTGTATTGAAAATCCTGACCTAGGTGTTGGTTGGCAGACAGTTGTTTTGAGTTCCAGATGTTTTTCAGTTGTAAATATGCTGCTCTTGCTTTTCCGATCTGCGCCTTCACATCTGCATCAGATCCACCGTGTTTATCATTGATGCTGCTCAAATATGTAAAGGTTTTTACATCTTCCAAATCTTCTCGTTCAATTGTGATTGGATTGGTGCATTCTGTGTTGTATCGGAGAATCTTTCTTTTTTCTTTGTGTATATTGAGACCTACTGCTGCTGAAGCTGCTGCTACAATGGTCGTTTTCTCCTGCATTTGTTGTTGCGTTTAAGATAGAAGGGCCAGATCATCTGTGAAGTCTATATCGTCCAACTGCATCCTGGATGTCTACTGTATCCCTTGCTTTCCTTCAGATGTTGACGTCTTCATGATCCAGTCGGTCACCAGGCGAAAGAAGAGAATATAGAGTATCTTTGCAGTTACTGCTACGTCTGCTTTCAGTGCCTCTGCTGGAATATTTTTTGGTCCTGCTGCTTTGCCACTCTTGATTTGTCTGATGGCCGTGCTGAATTCTTCAATTGTTGGTGGGTCAACATAGATTGGGAGGTCAATGGGTACTGCTTCGATGTTGGGTGGGTTCAGTGGAGATGGTCGATTCAAGACTCCTTTGAAGTATTCTTCACCTGTTTCTTCGTTCTTCATGTTTCCTCTTGTAGCCTTTTCTGCCGTCATTTCTAAATCTTCCACATATTTACGTTTGTCGGTTCTGATACTCCTCTTCACTTGTTTGTTTACTTTTGTGTATTCAGCTTGTGCCTTGGCTTTTTCTGCTCTTGTTCGACTGGTATTGATTGCTGCCATCTTGTTCCTCCTTTCTTGAATCTAATCCAGTGTATCAACAGTGATCCATTCCTTGTGATGGTGCTTCTTGTTATACAGGACCTCATGACATGTTGAAGTGATTGCCTCTTTTATCCGTTTCCAGTTGCTCTCCATAACAGTTCCTTCTCCATTGAGTAGATCATGAAAGGCCTGGAATTTTATTGCTGAGGGCTATCTTGAATTTGTTGAGATTGTCGGTATCCCAAAGAAAAGCCGTATTAAACTTTTGTGATGTTGTTCACCCCGTTGTTCAGTGCATCTTGAGTTTCAATTTCATCTTGGCGGCTAGCAAGTGATGACTTGATGATATATCAGCTCCTCTCTTGGTTGTCACGTCCTCCATCGTCCTCCTGAACTTTTTGTTTATGCAGATATGGTCGATTCGGTTTTGTGTAGTGTGATCCGGTGAAATCCATGTGGTTTTATGAATGCTACTGAGTAGTGACATTCAGTCATATCCTGACTGAATTCTATCGATTAGGTTGCAACGAAGATGACACAAGTTCAAATCTCACTTGACGAATCGGTTCCGTCAGGTTTATAGTTATACCTTGCTAATTTGTTCCAAATAATACAAAGCCTAAGTCAAACGGCTTTCCTGTCATCTACTTCAAATCAATTAACAAAATTTTGTGTTACGGTAAAATTCAGTTGCTCTTATGTTTTACTCTTGTTATGTAATACACTTAATTAATTAATTTGCATGGACTGAAAAATATTTATTCTACTATTATTTCAATTTTTTAATTGTTTTTCGTATTCAGTCGTCCTGTTCAGACTGTCAACGAATCGCCGTTATCGACATCATCCACCACACATGCACAAGAATCAATACAGGTTAAGGAAGCTACTCATCAATCGTCTGAACAGAGTACTGAAAATCAACAGATGAGAATCAATGAAGTTCCAATTGATACAGCATTGAAAGAGGTAATTTGTTCCCATCATATTCGATTTATAAATCTGAATAATCCTCTGAATTGTAAATTTTTCACAACTTACCATAGATTGGTATAAGCTAGCTAGCAGCGGAATCCAAGACACGCGTTTCTCCCTATTTGAGATTCGTTTTTAACCGGATTTACATGTTGTTATTGTTGAAATTCATGAAAACACATTTTAGTCAAATAGAGAAACGTTCAAGTTTTCACCGACAGATTCTTTGTAGTTTAATCAATTTCTCTGAGTAGTAATTATGCAATTGTTGATTGTCACTTGAAGCTCTTTATATCTTATATTTACCTAAAGTATGTTCTATTAAGAACTATTTTGTTAATAGTCGGACAAGTCTTAAAAGTAGTCTACATCACCAAATATCACGAATCCAATAGATAAAATGACCATCCCTTCTGTTGATAGTATTTGATTATCGTTTGTGAAAAGATGGTTGCTTAGGGGGAGTTGTATTTGCCAACGAACAAGTAAATTTAATAATGTTAGACTTATAAAACACTCGATTTCTTCTCTCCCGATTGTATATAACAGGCAATTTGATATTATCCATTAATTCAAACATTAAACCTTATGGCACCATATTTCATGAGGGCATTAATTAGACAGAGTTTCTTGGATTCTTGCGTACAATGAATTCATCTATATAGGTACAGAACGTTTTTTGGATTATAATCGATGTCAGTTTATGATATGCATTTTATCCCGTAAACACCTAATCCCTACCTGGAATGCCTGAATTAACCAACAACAATGTGCATATGAACAAATTCATATAACTTTGCTTTTCGATTTACAGGCAGAGTAACACATTAGAAATATCAATAATTCTATTAGGTATGTAACATCTGTTTTTACTCTGTAATATTATTTTGCCCATAAAACATCCATTTAAAAAAGCTCTGTTCTGATTTGTTAGAAACCGATTGAATTTCGTCGCAGTTATTTTAATCCCATCTCTTTACTCTACTCTTGATCCGATCTGGTAACATCATTTTAAAATTTCGTTTTACTTCACTTTTATTATCTATCGTATCATAAAATTCTAATTATTTATTTGTAGACTGACGATAGTGCTATATCTCGCTCCCAATCAGATTCAAATAACTCTTTAACAATGTCGACAAAGTCATCGAAATTGCTATCGATAAAACAGACAAGCAAAAAGAATTCTTTACAATCTAGCATCAAAATGAAACCCGAAGTCGATCATTTGACTATCAAAAGTATGGCTAATTCATCTATTCTAAGTTTGGATGCTTCATCAACATTATTAAATCAACAACACTGTCGTTTACCTAGTCGTAATAGTTTTTTCAAAGATGCTACCATATCCAGGTAATTGCTACTTCTTTAAATGCCAAATAAAATTTTTTTGGAGTTTATATATATATATATATGTCTATATGATGTACTGCTTTCAGTGTATCTCACCTGTCTCTTGATGAAAACTTACTGACAAATCAACTTAGAACAGCATAACTAGTTCTATAACCTTTTGAGAGACTAGGAAAGTACTGTACATATATTCGTCTTTGTTGGTTAGTTGTGTAATAATCTGTTATCACAATGTTTAACTCGTAGAATCAATGTTTGTGTGTCGAACTCTTATGAAACTAACATATATCATATCTCGACGAAGTTTATACTGTAAACGTTTGAGCATATAGTACATCATCTGGTGCATTACTTTGCCGTTTACACCATACAAATAGTCCTGAAGTTCTGAAACTTTTGTAGTATTAGCTTTCATGAGTACTACCTCAAATTTTGAAGAGTTTATTTCAATTTGCCTTTGCTTAATTGGTGAAATTCTAATCAATTATTTTCATTGGTTTTCATTTTACATCTAATTTTTTCTTCTTCTAGTTTGGAACAGATTTCATTTCTCAAAGATCGTTGTTTAAGTGGTCCACTGTATGAATTATTTTGTAAATTTCTTGATGAACCTGATCCACTCGAACCAAATTATCGGCTTTGTGCTCCTATAATATACTTACCATCACCTGAAAGGTAAACGTCATAGTTAATTAATAATTTTGTTTATGGTAAATAGTTTCATTAATCTTGTGATACAACAGTGTTTTTTTAAAAAATAGTTTTGGGACTACGTAAAATTACTTGATTCTATACAAATTCGGTATGTATTTGTAATAAATTTTCTCGTGAATATAACTTTTGATCGTGGTATATGCTACTTATACTGACAGATATAAGTAGTATGTAACAACAATTGGAGGTGGAATATCTGCTTAGAGAAATTTTAGTTAAACAGAACATGAATGTAAACAGAGAGCTACTGGAATAATGACTGAATTTTAAGAATCTTAAAGTATGATTTTACATTAAACAATAAATCGGTTTTCTCTACCTAAATTTTTGTTCAGTTTATATGATAATTCATAATTAATACAAAATCTTCAGTCATATTGTTCTCATAATTCAATGAGTGTTTTTCTCAAAAACGTCCACAATATGTAAACCACTTCTCCGTTAAATTAAATTAATCATTTCTTATTATTGTAAACATATAAGGTCATTGGTCACTTGATGTTGTTTTACTTGTATCTTCCTATTGTTATTTATGACTCCAATTGATCAGTTTCATGTTGGCATCTGTACATCCTGTGTAGATTGCCTCGATATAGCCTTAAGTCACAAGCTTTTTAAGGTCATTGTGTTTTTTTGTTGTTTTGTTTTACTTCTTACTACCTTTAGAGAAAAAAGAAAAGATGAATCTCTTTTAAACTTATTACACTAGAGTTGTATGTATTGGATGAAAACCCGGTTATGGTTTTTTTAACTGGCCCCTAGTTTCTCCAGAGTCTTATTGACTTGACCTTAGAAAAAAAAACGGTAAACAGAAAATGTGTAATATAAAAGAAAAGATAAAGTGTATGTGTGGGGGGGTCATTTTGTATTGTTATATATATTAGTTAAATTAATAATGTTATTTATTTTTATTATTCTCATACATAGGTATCCGGAATTTTATCGATTTACCTTATCATCACATTTATCTGGTTCTGGATTAAATGTTAAATTTACATCGAATTTTACTAATCGTCTATTTTCACCAATTGGTGATAATGATAATGATGAAATTTATCATGTTGAATATCCATCACTTTGTTTAGCCAGTATTGCATCACGATTTATTATAAATTCAATAAAGGATCAAACATTAAATAATAATAATAATAATGATGATAATTTGTCACCTCATCATCATCATTTATTACATGTTGAATTATCAGAAAAAGAAGAAAATCATTTTCTCCTAGTTACAAATGCTAATATTATGGAAAGTTTATATTCATTAGATATAGCTATGGATAATATGTTCACTGTATGGGAAGCTTTTACTGGACGTCGTAGTTGGTTTGGTCGACGTTTAATGAAATTAAAAAGTGTTTATATAAAACATCGTGTAAGTGGATTTTTTGTTTGTTTGTTTATATTAGGGTTAAGTGTATAATATATCTCATCGATTTTTTGTTTTCAGATTAGGATTGTCCTATTTTGTCATTGATCATTTCTGTGTACTCTCAAGATTTTAATTGAAAAAGAAATTTCTGGCAATTATTTTCTGTTTCATGAATTCCCGTTTTATCTCACGTAACCAACAAGATCAGATACACTCTTATTCTTGATAGATAATGGTGAATTTTCACGTTTGTTAACTTTCGCTTTTGTATGGTTCTGAACAGCTATTTTTTTAATCATGCTCTGAAGCCTTGCTACTTGAAATTTTGTGTAGTACATTTCCCTGTTTGTATAGTAATAGAAACTCAATGCTTTCTGTGACAGAACATCTGGGATTTGTCTGTTTGCTCATGTGTGACACTATATACTAGGTTGTGATCATACTTAATGTTTAATTAGTTATGTATTACTGTGTAGTTGTTTAGAAGGAACACTTTTTTGCTTCCCAATCTTTGAAACTTTGATTAAAAACCCAATGCTTAACTTGAGTGAACTAAACCTGTTCATGAATACAGGAAATACCATACTTATTTTAAGTGTTTGATATCCAACCAACTACTATACTGTCTATGTATATCAATTAAGAGCTTCCCAGCTTATTGATTCCAACCTATCAATTTATTTTCATTCATTTGAAGTAACACAGCTTTCCTATAATTGAAATCAAGAGTCAATCTAAGGTAAACCATGATTAAATACTTGAAAGCATTAAACGGCCGTTCCATCTACAGTCTCTTTTACGGGACTCGAACTCAGGACCTTCAGTTCATGACCGGACTTTTAACCTCCACTCGATTATTAACTGATTTTTTGTCCTTTTATGGTAGCTAGCAGTGAAGTTGCATGGTTCTGATATATATTTCTCACTTCTTACTTACAAACTTTTAACATGAACGGTTCTGCTGAGGACTTGATTACAGCTAATGATACAAAACACCTCAATGATTAACCGCTGACACAGTAGAAAGTCAGTGTAGTTTAATATTTTTTCAGAGCAACTTGAAATGATACAGTTCAGTATATCTAATAATGAGTACTTTAAGCTAAGTTACACAGAATATTAATGAACGAATACTGCCAAGCAATCAGAAATGGTCACTTAGATATTTAGACGGGAAAAAGCAGTTGTGGTTACCGTTAACTGAAACTTTCATATAGTTATTAACAGAGATCTAGTAATCTCACGATTTCCTTACCTCAAAGTTATCACTCCTTGCCTGAAACAACACAATATTACCCACTAGACTACATTCTGGTTATTGCATTCTCAATGTTATATGTAAACTAAAATCATAGAAATATTTTGGATGTCGCGGTAGGGTTGTTTGTGTTATGAAGGTCACATTGTTAACAACTATTATACACGCTTCAGTTATGAGGGCTTGAATCTTCCCATTTTTGCTCATTTCATCTAGTTCTGTGATTAAAATTTTGGCAACTTGAACCGATGTACTCATGTGGCATATGTTTACATTGGATTTTTTTGGGTGGCAATTAAACAGCAGAATACAAACTAATCCATGCTTTTTCATAATTGAATCAATCAGAAATTCATTTTTGAGTTTTAAATTTTTATCGCTCTTCAAGCTTGACTTTTTCAGAAAGCAAACATCTATCCTAAGACATTATCACTGTTGTTGTTGTTGTTGTTATAGCAGTATTTGTTTGTTTACAATAGAAAAAATAATCAACATTTTCAAGCAGATCGACATGATTATGTTTGTGTGTGTGTGTGTTTTTTCAATTTCCCAATATTTACTGATCGTTTCTGCTTGTGTTTTTTTCGTAGACTAATTTGGTTGAAAGTTTAAAGTTGGAGAATCACATACCGGTTGCAATGCCAAAATCGTTTATACCATGTATAATTAAATCACAAAATAACAGTTCTAAGAAAAAAGTAAGTTGACTGTTAGATTTTTCTTTTCCTTCATATTTGATACTAATTTTGTTATCATATTGTTCTGGTATATTCTTATACACCATGATTTCGTTTGTTAGTGTTCTATACTCATTAGGTGTTTATTATGTGTAATATTTCTCACCAAGTGAATTTTATCTAAAGCGTTCGTTAGGTAAATACACTCAGATAAGTTTGAGTTATATCGCTGTTAATATTTACGATTGAGTTTTCATCAATTCTTGTTGCCGTATATAGACTCCCTTAACCATTCCTTCGATGTAATCGTTATGAATATCAATGATGGGATAACACGAACCTTACTGATAGAGACAGGTATATACATTAGCTCCGTTTAGTGAGCTTGTGGCCATCTGGACTCAGTTGATAACGCGTTAGACATTAAAAGCGAAAGCTACACGAATTTTTCAAAGTTGCTTATATATATATATATATATATATATATATATATTAAATATTCACTATATGAACTATTTTTCACTTTCATTTAATTACTTAGACTGATCGTCGTGCACTAGAACGTGGTGCTGAAGTTATTCGATGTTTATGTGGTTTTCGTGTTGAAGGTGGTCATGTTATGGTTCAATGTGATTTATGTGCATCGTGGCAACATCTACCATGTTTATGGTGGGCACTTAGTCTGGCTATTCGTAATGATTCCTCCAATGGATTAAATTCAAACTTAGTTCGTTTATGTCAAACAGCGTTAATTGCTGCACAAGCTGTTGGTGGCGGTGGCGGTAATACATTTGAGGTAGATGTGAAAGGTGAAGATGATCGAGAAGTTGATGCTCCTTATATATGTCCAGTTTGCTTGAAATTGGATAATTTAACAAAAGTACGTTTCATTGTACTTTTTTGAAATACTTGTAAAAAATCAATATAATTATCTTCATTTTTTCCTATTTCTTTGGAAGTTATCCATAATTTCCATTTATTATTTACATCAATTAATCTAATGGACATTTCATTTGGTAAATACTTCTGGTATGGTCTGATGCGTACTTTTATCAAGTGATATTTTGTTCATTACTGATTGGTAAATGTTTCAGCTGAAGCAATAAATTCAATATATATTTGGTAGAGATTTGCAATCCTTATTCTAAATAAATACTTGGTTTATAATAGAATCTATGGTTTGTGTTTGAACACATTTATCTAACCTGTTGGATAACAGTTCCAACAGTTTCATGGAACATCGATTTAGATTCTGTGAAGTGTTTTTCTCATGTAGAAATGGAAAACACTAGCATTCTAGAATTATGAATGATAAGATGGTTGTATGATCTGTATTACTGTGGTTCGGCTTTCCATAGGATTTAATTGCTTTCTTTATTTTTATTCAAAAAAAAACAGACTGCTTACTTTTATTTGAAGACCAAATGTCTTGGTGGTGTGGTTATGGATATACACTACCGAGAGATCCCATACCAGGACGAAACGACCATCCTATGATTCCAGGTTCTCATCGTTTGTCTAACTTGAATCAGTTCTGGATTTCAATAAACCATAACAATCTCCACAACCCGATACCGACAGTTCATTTTTCCTTGAATCGTATAATCTATAGTTAAAGTTGTTTACTACCCCAAATACTGTTACTACTTTAACATTTCTGTAATGTAATGTATTGTGGCAATGTGAATCGATGCACTCATATTTCCCTAGTTCTATATTACTTAGAATTAATGAACTGTTTTTCATGACCTATTTATTATAGTGCATCGATTCATTTCCACTTCTTTGTTGGTATATTTTCTTTTACTTAGTATAAATTTGGTCATACTGAAAAAACTAAACATTTTAGGTTTCCTGTCTAGCTAATTAACTGACTAACTAACTACTATATAATTTAGAATGAATAAGTCGATTTTCCTAGACATTAATCTCTCTACATATATGTCATCCTCATATTTTCTTTATCTCAACAAATGTTTCTTGTCATTTCTTCAAATGTTTTTCACCATCCCATTGATTTTTATAACTAATTTTTCTATTGTAAAGGAATATCCTCGTTCATTATCTGCAGCGATGAGTTTAAACGATGTAGATGCTGTCTTTGACTTACAAGATACACTGGTGAAAGGTGAACATGAATTCTGGACATTGGGTAGTCCTGATGGAACTTGTCAAATACGTACAGATGATTATGCATTTGTTAATCGTTTTTGGTTAAATCATCTCAATATTTCACAGGATATATCAAAGGGAACAACAACTACTGTATCAATGAATGTTAAACAACTTTTAGATCAATCCCTACAGTCTCCAGTGAAATCTGCTTATGATCGTATTATTGTTCGAATTTATCGATTATGGAAGGATGTCAGGTTCGAAATTTTTTTATTATGTAGTAATTTTTGATTTGTTGAATATTTTTTTCACGATACCACTTAATCTTTTCTGTTGTACATCATCCACTCTACAGTTTGGCTAGGAGTTGGAGGGGACAGGAATTGTCAACAGGAAATCCTACTTGATCAAGTTCTGATGCTAATGAACACTCTCCAGGTAGCCGTACTCGCTATATTTATTTATTTGAACACATGAATATTGGTTCAAGAGGGCACCAAATATATATGCGCCACACTTTTGTGTGAGGGCTGTGATACTACCCGGGTGCTCAGACCGAAGCAGGTAGTTTTCTTAGGGGGTCACACCCGGAGCCTTCGACCTAAAGGTTCGATCTACGAGGCAGTGGAGCAACGTCAAGAGATACAGTCCCATGGTAGTCAGTGACCAATAATTGGTTCGTACGCCATTTATTCCTCCAGGATCTTGGAGCCCATGTGCACCATTGGTTTGGAATGAGGGTTTTCCAACTCCCCTAGGTGCATTCTCCATGTCCTCCAACCCGGTTAAAGCGTCTAACATTCTCTTTTCGTCCTCTCAATTTCGTAAACAACATGAATGCCGCGAGAAGGCAGTGAGTAGGACTTCCGTGACAGTGGCTATATACGCGTGGCCATGTGAGAGTATTTCGAGAGGGAGAGCTGATTCTTCCTACACTCGGTCGTACCAGAGCATTTCGGGGCCAGCCGTACTCGTAATTTTGAGGTAACTTGCACGCCTTGCTAACGAGTTTTAATTAGCATGAAACCTGGATTCATGGTTTCCTGGTGATTAATTTTAACAACCTACTATCAAAACAGTACCCGTGCAATATTAATTCAGTCAAACTAGTAACTGTTATTTTGACTTGTTCGATAAAATCCAATCGATACCAAAAGCTTAGCTAAAATTGACATTCGTCATTACTCGATAATTACTTACTTTTGATTTAGATCATGTAAGATTGGTTTTTTAAGCTGAACTTAATTGTAAAGCTCAAACATATCTACTATTTCTTACTTTTTCAATAATAATATCTTAGTTTTTAATGATGCCTTTAAACTCATTTGTGATATTGCTGTACGTTCTATATCTCAAACTGTCAAGATTTAAATCACAGTATCCTGGTAATATTTTGAGTCACTGATTTTTCAAAATTTTATTTTCGTGACCGATATTATGTGTTATCGACACACGATGCACCGACTGGGATCATACTACACTAGACAAACGATTCGCCGTCAAATATCGAGAACTACAGTATATGCTTGATAAAAAATACTTCACTCAACACAATTACAAACTGTCTATAAACTCAGTCCAGAATAGCTGAATATTTGTCACCATCCAACACCCATTGTTCTATCACATTTTACTTTCACTAAGGACATTTCAATGCTTTTCAAATCCCTTCAGTGTTATAGTCTACATAATCAAATTTATGAAAACTGTAATGTAGATTGTTGGATAAACAACTATTGTTTCTAACACATTTTTTAGTGGTTTAGCTTGGCTAGAAGGTGGTTTATTTCTGCGTCCATATGATTTACCTCCGATATCGGCAATAACTGATTCATCAAAATGCCCACAATTTTGGCATCTTGATGAAGTCGTCTACGATGAGGCTAGACGTGTTATTCTTCCATTAGACGCTTGGATTGGTAGATGTATGGTGTTATGCCCTTCAGCATATAGAGTTGGTAGACCGGCTGATTTACTATATACAGCACATATAAAAGAATTTATGCCATCACTGAAAAATGACAATCTGAATGATTCCAATTCTACTGCAAATCAGTTTCAATATTTCTTTGTTTGTGAAAAATTATTTGAACAGTCATCAGTTGATAATCATAGTTGTAGATTTGATGAAATATCTCCTGGTTACTTAAAAGTCAGTATGAAGGTATGTGAATTTGAGATTTAAATATCCATAGCAATAATCTGTTGTTATACTTTGTTCTTTTTCACTGTCGGCTAGTTAGATTTTGATGCTGTTAAAAGTTATCTCTCACTTCAGCTTAGTTATATTCAATCTATTGGTTTTCGGAATGTATAAAACATGAAGACAAACTCTGATTTGAAGTTCATTTTCATGATAGTCCGATATCAGTTGAAAAACAAGGTGTTAGTCATTCACAACGTAAAATCAAACACACATGTAAATCGGTCCAGGTTGTCATACCACTCTTACCTTAGTTACTTCATTGGAATGATGATCAAGCTTACTAATTGGGGTATATTTTCTAAAAATTTTGTTTGTGTTCTATCAGAACGGTATAATTGAAGTGTTCAGCTCAGTGATCGAAAGAGAAAGCTTACCGTTGATTGTACTGAGGTGTTACAACCGTGAGATGTTTTCATTAGACAACCAACATATGTAGCCTATTCACACTGGAGGGTAACTGGCCCAAAACATGAGATGCTTCAAATTACCCCATAGATTCCCATCACTGGTAGCAAGGTCGTTTAAATGTGGTTCTAATTCTCAAATTCTCACACAAGACTTACGTATGATCAGCTTGAAATAACTGTCCTTTTTCCGCGTGCATACTTCCAGGTCTCTTAGACTACTTCTTATCTAGTTTTGTTATCAGGTGTTTCAAAAAAGAATATTTACACCGTGTGGGCGTCCGTGAAGTGATGGCTACCTTCATATCTCTAACAATACTTGGGATTACTTTGTATATTACTAAAATTAGCGAGCACTTGATATTTAATTCTGCTTCACGATATCCTTTGTAAGCATCCATTGAAAGTTCAAAACAAAGACAGCATAACTGTTTAGAGCTCTCTGGTTTATAGTAGTCTTTTTACTGATACTAGTACAGGAAGAAAGATAACCTTGTGCTAAATTATCTTCACAAAACCTTATGCCCTAAAGCATTTGTTTCTTCAATTGAGAAAACAGGTGAAAATTTCTCATCTTGGGTAGTCATTAATCACAATTACAAACTCTGTGTCTTTTATGATTTCGAGCTAATTACTTTCAGCTAGCTTTGTACTGAAACATACAGTTAACGATTTCATCAGACTAGGTGTATTCAGTTCATGATCTCAATAATATAAAACTTAATAATCTCCACAACCCCTATACTGATAGGTGTATTCTATTAATTAATGAATTCTATATTGTTATACAATATGTGTATATTGTTTAACTAAAATGTTTAGGTTACTCTCCTGAAAGATGTATGATAAGAAATTACACAGTGAAATCTCATATTCGCGATTATTTACCGTTTCATCTGGTAATCTAATAATTTATTTCATTTCTAGTACTTTTTAACGTAATATATATACACCGTCTCAAAATATTCATTTAATTATTTGTTAAAGGTTTAGAAAATCGTTTTAAACAATATTAAGGTTGGTTCAAATTGTAGAATTTCTGAATAATTGTATGAAGTAGTCGAAAAGAACATGATAATTACAGTCTTTTAACTTTCAACCTACAATCTTGCCGCATTAGTATACAGGCTGTTTCCAGGTGTCTAATACTTAATGCTTTTTTTAAAAGTTTTAGTCTCTTGAACATACTAGTTAGCCGGAAGTATTTAGATGTGTCGTTTTTACTGTTAAATGAGAATAGTACACAAGAATTCAATTCCTTCCTGGTGTTATAAATACCAGCGAATTCGGTAAAATCTCTGTCATAAAATAAATAAGGTAATTCTGAAAACCAATAAAATGAATGCTAGTCATTGTTACATGAAAAATCTTTTTATTATTTTCCCTTACATAGCCGTATTGTTTCCTTCGTAAACCTGATAATCAATGTATTCGTGGTAGTTTACCACGACAGTATTCAGCTGTTGAACTACTCACCCGTGATCAAATACCTTTCTCAGAGGCATCTGTCAAAGATGAACAAACATTTGAAATCAAAACGTCTCCTGAAGAATGTACTACAACATCTGGAAATATGTCCAATAGCGATGAGAAGAATGCTACAGTTCCAGTTGGCAGTTTAAAGCAAAAGGTTTGTTTGAGTTTCTTAAGAATTTGTGTTCTTATAAGTTCTATCCAACTTAATGCGTTTTCCTAGTGATAATTTTTTATTTTGCCCATTCAGTAATTATTCGTTTTTCTGGGTTCCTTTTGTGACAGTAGTCATGTCATGGAATTTTCGCAGACTATTATTGGTAGACGAACTATGTTATCGTAACTAATATTTCAAGATCTATCGTTTTTTCTCAAGAAAATAAATAACCTTAGCTACACATCGTGTTTTCTTTATTTATTTACTTCAACACATAAACTTATGCACCACACACTATAGTTATCAATAAACGTTTTTGTAAGCTAGGATACCTCCTGAGGACCCAAACCAGAGCAGGTAGTTTTCTTAGAGAGCCACTCCGAGGTCTGGAGGTGCGGTTCCATGATAGCCGATGTCCAATAATACGTTCATACGCTATTTGTTCCCTTTGGGATCGTGGAGCCAATGTTCACGATTGGTTTCAAATCAAGATTTTCCTATTCTAATTGGATATTCCGTACCTAATAACTGTGTTTAAGCACCCATTTGATATTCTCTTTCGGTCCTCTCAATTGGGTAAACAACAACCTGTTCGCGAGGATGCAGTCAATAGGACTTGCGTGGGAGTGGTTATTTATGCGTTGCTATATGAAAGCTTTTGGGCTCTTTCTATCTTCAGCCATACCAGGGCATTGTGAAAGGTGTTACACAACATGTCTCAACATGTAAATACAAAATTATTTTAAATGTTCGTTGTCTATAAGACGTATGTTACATCCTTGATCTTCCTACCCAGTAATATACAAGAGAAATCTTGTCTCGATCCAAGTTATGGCTTTGATACGATACGCCAATTGGTTCCAGTGTGAGGCTAGAAATGCGTGGGTCTGAATTGAGACTAACGATTTTCGGCAAAATGTTATTCTATCGTATAATTGATTGAAAACGAGAGAGAGAGAGAGAGAGAACGAGTCAACTAAAACACTACTCGGTTCAGATTAAAGTGAGAAGATACATGGAGAAATAGGTGACTAACATGACCTCAACTCCCAAACAATTAGGGAAATACAATTATGTTCAAACTTGGCAAATGGCACAAACAGTTACGTTTAAATTACAATAGTTTTGGAACAGAAAAGGCTATAACACTGAATCATGCATCAAACGAAAGCCTATGGTTTATAGGATAAACTATGGAAAAAACAAATGTTAGTATTTTACAAACATTGGATTAAGTGAAATAGTGTCTCCAAAAATAACTTTCGTTGTTTAACATGGCTTCTTTATTTCTCTGTTCACATCAACATAGTTGTTATTTTTGTTTGATTTTAAGGTTGTCAATTTGTGATGTAATCATTAGCTTAGCTAGCCATCGTGAAATTCGGAGCATGCTATCCTGTCCTATCTAGTATGGTTGGTTGATAGCTAGATGTACTTGTATACCAGTATTGATTTATGCGTCGGAACTTGAACTCAGTACTTTCCACTTCAAACACCTGTTGCTTTATCCACTGAGTTACTGAGTCCAGATAGCTATAGAATAGCTTATCACTTAATCGCTATATAAAACCGTTTCTCAGAGAAGACACATATTATTCCCAACAAAGACTGAAGTTCAGCCAGTATTTTTAAAAAATGAGATTATTGTAGGGTACTATTACTGCTTCGATAGATGTATACTGGCTTTAACTCCCATGCGTAATTTGTCTCTCAAAGCTTCTCATACACGAAATTTGGCTTAATTACTTAACTGGTATTTATTGTGTCAAATTTTTCTGTCCTTAGGTTTTTGTAGTATTGTAGTGAACAGAACACGGGTGGGAACAATCGAATGTATTTAACACAAAATTACAGGACTTGATAATAAAATCTAACAATCATAAAATAAATGCTTGATTTGCAGAATGTCCACCAATTGTCTCAAAATGACTCAGACTTCATTGTTCTTACATTTTCATACAAATTGCATTCTGTTTCAATTCTTTACTGTTCGATCCTCTTGTGTCTCTGCTGTCAGACCTGCTCACGACCAACATACGACTAACTACTTATGTCAATATAAGTAGCACACACCACAGTATGATCTTTGTACTTCTAGGCTTGATTACTCCATAATTGATTTGAGTGTGGTTGTGTAGCACTGCATACAATAGTAGTGATTTTTTTCACCACATACAGTTTTCTAGATAACTTTTAGTTATAAGAAATTTTAAGTTAAATCACTGGAAAGGAAGGTTTATTTCGAGCCAGTGACTTCTTGAAGGCTTTAGTTCTTAGTTTTCAACGAATAGACTACAACCTTACACAATTCCATTTACTATGGACAATTTAGTGAAAATGTGTCATCAGTCTATGAATTCATTTATTATTGGTTAAACCTGTCCTGTTAGGTATACAATACCTGGTCGGGGGTCCTCTAGATAATTGCAGTCAATGGCCGGAGACTTTGTATGATATGTCTTTCATGTATTTGCTTTTGATCCTACTCCATCTAGATCTTAAGATTTCATGTTCCTTATTTCTATTTCTTCGCTTTTGATCCTGCTAATTTTATTTTGTCGTACTAACGTGGTATGAAAGTTAGGGTTAGTACACATTCGTGCTATGCTGTATCTTGATAAGTGACTATTTATTTATCTATTTCAGTTCGCTCAGTTGAGTAGCACCATTCGTCCTCACAAGATTATTAATATGGTTATCCTGATGTACAGTGACAATGACTTTCAAGATTAAATAATTCCATTCTTAATTTACACTGTAAATGCACTATCACTACAGTTAGTGGATCGGTCCACTTTTAAAGTATATTGTTCCTAATTGTTGATATTTACGTATAAAGTAATAAGTTTTAACTCTTGAAAGCGGTTCCATTTTATGCGGAATAATGTTTTTAGATTTTGAAAAAAGAATAACTTAAACATTTTTGTTTACTCCTTTTTTTATGTAATTGATTTATTTATTCTTTGTTGATTCTAAAAATCTAGGGTGAAAAACTGGCTCGTGTTGTTGACTGGTTGGAACGGAAACGTCAAACCAACTCTTCACAATCCACAGTTACATTACCTCAAAATTCCATTGTTCCAGAACAACAACAACAACAAACTTCCATTTCATTGTTACCCGTTGAAAATAACCCAGTTATTGATGAAATATCATTACCATCATCACGTAGTTTGTGTTCTCGAGGTCGAATTCCACTTAGAATCAATCGTGGAAGAAGTAGAGGTTTCAATAAATCATTGAAACTTACATCATCTAATCCTGTACCATTATTGCCTGATAAATTTTCTACATTAATTGCTGTACTCCCCGATAAAATTGATGAAATATCATCTAGCAAAGAAGATGAATCTCTCAATATTCCCGTTAAACGTACATGTATGTCAGAAAATTCATCACCAACTCAATCAAATATTGTTCAAATATCATCTGAAATTAATGTAGACCATAATTTATCGTCATTAGTCATAATCGATTCAAATAATTCATTATATAATACAGTTGATAAAAATTCACCTAAACAACTCTCGAATGATCCTCTTATCTCATCTAATACAGAAGAAACTAATGTGAATACTTTAGCATTAAATACTATTGTCCCAGTCACTTCTACTACAAATAATAATAATAATAATAATAATTCACCTGTTAATTCACTTAATAGTTTAAAGCCATCTGATTTACAGTCTAATGAAGATTCTATAGATCGTTTATCATCAGTAATATTAAAGCCTACATCAAATAATCAATCAATTATTACGTCACCTACTGATGATCATTTGAATATTTCATCATCACCTAGTTTTGGATCAACAAGAAAACGTAAATGTTCCATTACACGTAAAAGATTAGTACCAGAACCCGAATTACTTCATGAAATTATTGACAATCTACAAAATAATAATAATAATAGTAATAATAATAATAATAATACTTCATGTTTAACTGTTAATCATTTATCTGAATTAAACCATAACAATACATATGATAATATATCTATTGAAAGTTTAAACAATTCAATTCATATATCAGATGATACTAAACACTTATCACCTTCAACTAATCAAATATCTTCAATAGATCGAACATTATCAATCCAATCATCATCATCATCGTTGTCGTCATCATCATCATCATTATTATTATGTACACATTTATATGAATCAAATTTAATTCAGAATAATAATGATGATGATGAAACTTGTTTAATGAATATACAACCAATTTTCTCTAGTCATATTACAATTCATAACGTCCTAACAGAAATTAAACATTTTGCATTGAAATCCAATCAACCAGTTATTATGTCATTTAATCATAATAATAATTTAAAATCAATAAATGATTGTGATCATCCACTTTCAACATCAACAATTTCTTCAAATTATTCAGTGAATCAAATTAATATCACGAATCAACCGATAATCGATAATAATAATAATAATAATAATAATAATAATAATAATAATAATAATAATAATAATAATAATAATGTAGAAAGTTCCAACATATTCATAGATGACAGTTCAATAAATCCTTTAAATAAAGACCAATCTATTGAATCATCACATGAAAAGGAAGTCGTTGTAGATGATGATAATGATGATGATGATGATCATCATCATCATCATCATCATCATAACATTTCTCCTACTTCAACTGAAAATATATCTCATACTAATAATGATATTGATATAGATGATGTTAATAATAATAATAATTGTATTGTGAATAATAATGTACAAGATGAGAATATTTCATTCATGACAACTAATCATGATAATAATTCATTGTTAGATACTTCTATAGATTTACCCAATAATCTAACTACTACTACTACTGAACAAAAAGTTAACGATAGTAGTATTGGTGCTAGTTGTGAATTTTCTACAACCGTCATTTCAATTCCAGATAATAATAAAGAATATAAATCATTTACAAAATTCGCTGTTGAAACATTAGTTTCAGATGATTATTCAACTATAAATTCCATTTGTACTACGTATAATTCATCTCCTGAAAAAGATTCATCATTATCCCCAAATAATAATAATAATAATAATAATAATAATAATAATAATAATAATAATAATAATAATTTATTAAAACATAATGAATTATCTACTGAATTAAATAATGATATTAACATGATGGATAATTCAACCGTCAACAATCAACAATGTGATGAATCTATTTGTCAGGATAATACACTTTTAAACTCTTCATCATCATCATCATCATTATCTGTGAAAGATGAAATCAATCAATTTGTTGTTGAGAATGAGACGACCACTACAGAAATTATCTCTCCTATATCATTAGTAACAAATTCAAAATCTATATCTAATGATAATGATTCTCCTCCAATAAGTATTGGAACACCTGTATTAGATGAAAAATTAGATTCCATAGAACCCATATCCACTGATATTATACCTGAATGTTTTCAATCAATTAAAACTGGTTATAATGTTACAGATTTACAAACTCCGATTGTTCAAAATTGTCAATTAAAAACAAAAGTAGATACTGATATATCTAAATCACGTCAACCAACTACTACTACTACTAATATCACTACTACAGCTCATAATAGTAGTATTTTAGCATCTAAAAAATTTAAAGAATCATCTCGTGATTATGGTGGTCATTATGAAAACCGTCATCATTCACATGGACATCATAACTCGTATCAATCAAGAAATTCCAGTAAATTTGATCATTATAGATCATCGTCATCATCAACATCAAAACAACATCCATGCTTTAGTAGTCATCATTCTCATCATTATTCTCGTTATGATCGTAAACACCATACACATCCACCTCATTATCATCATCAACAACAACAATCACATCGTCATGATGAATACAATCCTCGTTATCGTGATTCGTCTTCTTCACATAGATCAAGAGATCGTGATGACAGTTCTCCATATTCATCAAGGCATAATCATGGCGAAAGATCAGTATCGAATTCATCACATCGACATCAAGATCGCATTTATACCTCTGGAAATAATCGTGATCCTTCTGAAGCTTCAAATTGTTAATTAATATAATAAAAAGCTGTTCATAATAAATAGAATTTGTAATCAAGATCTACATTCATAGACATACAATCTTCAGTCTTGTTTCCTGTTTCTCCTCCTCCTCCTCTCTCTCTCTCTCATCTCATTTGTAATCACAACGTATTTGTTAATATTTCTTTTTATCCATAGGGTTTATATTTATTGACATGTAGAGTAGAACAAGGAGAGTAGGACAAAATAGAAAGATGATTATGAAAACTATTGAGTAAACGCACATCTATTTTGTGTTGATTGATAATTTTCAATTCATTTTCCTTTATTATTACCAATAATTTCATTTATTCTTTCATATTGTTTTTTTTCTTTAAGTGTGTACAACGTATGTAACAAAGTGTGTGTGTGTGTGTATATGTTGTGTATATTGTTATTTTGTGTTGATCACCTCTCTAAGGGTGTTTTAATGCTCCATACACACTCACATACACGTTAATGTAAACTTGACTTACATTGAAAAATATTTGTTTGTTTTTTGTTTTAAACACAAATACACCTCCCTCTCGCTCTCTCTGTACCTTAACCAGATAATCATTTGTGTGTGTGTGTGTGTATGCTGTATGTATGTGACACAACGGAGTATAAAGTTCTAAACCTGTCATTTTGTTTTAATTCATCAATGTATGTACATATTAACCACAAGACACATAATATTTTTTCTTTAGATAATTATGTAATTTATACACACATATATACACCTCTTCAATGATCCCCCCTCTCTCTCACACACACATACACACATCATTACTGTGTATGGACATTCGGTTGCTAAGATTTCCTCATTCTACATTTATTGATATGCTTTAATTGTCCATCAGACAATATGCACAGTAATCCTTATTTTGAATTATACATATGATGTATGAATTGAGTTTTATTTTTATTCATGATAATGATACTGAATTCCTTGAAATCAATTATCTTCCCTCACTGCCCCCCCTCCTTTTTTCTCTCTCTTGACTATTACATCTAATGTTGAAGAATTATGTATATAAATTTGCTATTTAGTGATTGTTTCTAAACAAAAACCATTACTATTTTATTGGTTTTCTCTGCTCTGCTCTACTCTACTTTAATTTGACCAATTTAGTTTCATGAAGGGGAAGGATTGTTTTTAATAATGTGTGGCATTTCTTATCATTATTACTATTATTGTTATTATTATTATCATCATCAGTATAATTTATTTAATTTAATTCTTTTTCTTTACTATGATAATACTAATCATAATAATAATAATAATAATGTATTTATAAGACGAGATATCTTGCATCATTGTTCTGGTCTTTGAAAACTCACTATTATAGTCATAGATGGTCGGAGATATTTGTCAAGGTACTAAACTTAATCTGAGTTATGTGTTAGTTAGCATTTGTGTTATAACAAGACGTATTGTTACTTTTTGTACTATTCAAATTTCGCTCAATTTAACTCCACAATTTGAAGCCCCTCACTCAACTCTATTTGATTAATTGATCAGTAGTGGATATATTGATGTAAGTTAAATTGTTTTTGTTATTTTTAAATTAATTATTCAATCGGTACTGACCTATTGAATGACTGTTTCATTTGAATTGTGTAACTTTGTAATAGGGAATTATTTGTTTGATCTTTGGTTTTATAACCAACTATTATCACTAGTATTGTTTCGTCTGGTGTTTCAATTCGAATTTTCTTTGTGTGGCAAACATCTCGATCATTAGAATAATGTTTTGTAGGGGATTGTATTAGCTTTTATTGTTTTTAAATTGAAAGGAGAAAGTAATTTTGCCGTATATGATACTTGTTTTGTTTTAAGAGACCAATTTCTCCATTTTTTTCTATTCAAACCGCATAGAGATAAATTTGGATTATCTGACTAACTTGTGGTTTGTTGGAAGTGTATAAATATGTTTTGTCATTTGAAAATGTGATCTCTGTAGTTATGGTTGCCCATATCATCCTTATTCGATGGTTCCCCTCCATCTGAACCTTACAATTAAAGCTAATCTACTACCAATTGTTCTAAGTCTCAGAGCATTTTGCATTCTTCCAGTGCTTTCTATAAGACGTTTTCTAATAGATTTTTATTTGTATCAGAAAGGGTTTTGTGGAGATCGCAGTGATTTCAGTAGTTGAAATCATAAGTCAATTGAAGCTAGACCACTATGGAAAACCTGGAAGCACTGGACTTCTCTCACAATAGAACGTAATGGCCGTCCTTGTATTTCCAAGTTTTTCATGGTGGTCTAGCTTCACTTGACTCATGATCTCAACTAATGAGATATTTATTTATCTAAACAGGAGGTAGTGTGTATGTTCATGCCTTGATGAATCGCGGTATTTTACAGAAAATCTTTCTTTTTGAAGTTGAAATATCTTTTTACAAATGTTCTATAATCTGTATTTGTGTATACACCTTTAGAATGTAATTTGTTCTATACTGCACTACTTAATATTAGCTCAACAGCTTAAATTACCTCAAATCATTTCGTAACATGTTCGATGTAATGCATAATATATCCATAGACGTCACTTGTTGATATTCACGCTGAACATAATTCATGAGGTGTCCGAATGTAGATTATGATCAAAGGAGGTATGTTTTTTTATAGATAAGCGATTAAGAATGAAATTATAGTATTTACTGGTAATCGTAAAATAACATATGGTTTATCTACTCATACTGTTTCATATCTCTTCCTACACATTAATGATCGTACTTGTTCTTTTGAACTTGGACCTGGATGAATAGGAAGTATAAACTTACATCCACCATGATGTCCCATTCAAAGGTTAAAATATCAATGTTTGTTATATTATGCCACTTACAAACATGAAGTGATTTGTTGGAGGCATCAATCTCAAGATTTAACTTACGTAACAAATATGAAGTCCCAGCGGAGTAAGTGGATAGGATACACGTTATGGAAAGCATCCAAATATGTCACAAGGCAAGCCCTCACATGGGATCCTCAAGGCCAAAGGAAAAGAAAAAGACCACAGAACACATTTCGCCGAGAAATGGAGAAAGAAATGAAAAGAATGAACAAAAATTGGATATAATTAGAAAGGCTCAGGATAAAGTTGGTTGGAGAATACTGGTCGGCGGTCTATGCTCCTCTGGGTGTAAATGAGAAATATGAAACTAATCATAATAGAGAATATTGTAATTTTACTGGGACTTCTGGAGATTTTTCTGACATGTAGAATAGTTTATTGTTTCAGCATTCTTCCAAGGCGATTATCCATTGACAGTGTTGGACATGGACCTTCTAAGATTAAGTGATACTATAATCATCATCAATTTTTTCGCCATCACCCGACTGTAAGTGTTACCCAGATTTTATAGTTGAGCTCTCCTATTGTAATGATAAAAACAAGCTATACTGGCTACAACATTCGTCCTTTTATGTTCTATCATGAAAAGTAAACCGGTTGGACAACGGTAACATAAAAGCAAGAATTCATGGTTTGAAGGTAAAGTTGTACGATTGAATGAGCTGGAATGTAATGACAATAAGTTATTTCTGTCAAACAATAAATATTTGTAGCTAATACGGTTTTATACAATCACTAAAAACAGCATAGCAAACCTACCCCGCATGATCCTTCATCTCTAAACGTAAGTACGCAGCTAATATATGAAAAAAACTATATTTCACAATGACCGTCTATCTGAACACTGCAATCAGTCAGTAACAACGTAGAACTTCGTACGTACGTACATCAGTTCGAGTTGTCACACCACATTAGCATAGAGGTACAGTGGTCGATTCAAATCCCGTAGTGGTAGAGGTAATAAGAGTATAAGCATTAATCGGGAAGATTAGGGTTTGAAGATGTTATCCAAGGAGCATAATCCAGTGAAATAAATTTGGAAAGAGAAAAAAAGGACATGAAGAATTCAGAAGATTAGAATTTGGGAGAACACAAAGAGTGGATGCACCTGCTCCATTGCAAACGATTTTGATCCATGTCATTCAGGGTCTCTAACCATCGGTTGCTATCATCTCGCGGTCCCCAACCAGGTAGTCTACACCTACCGACATGTGATTACACTGCAATCACATTCTCAGATCTCACATATAATGGGAAACAACAACTATTTAAAACAATCAAAAACGCATTCAATTGCCTTTATCATCAATTTAGCAAATACGATTATTTTCATTTTGAAATTTCAAGAATGTACACCTCTATAAGAAAATGATAACCCATAGAAGTAGTTTTAAGCAAGGACCAATACAGTATATAAATATATATTGGTAAGTATATCATTTAAGGTTAGTTACAAAATACATTGTACATGCAAATAAATATACAAATTTTGTTCAGAAAATAATTTGTTTCTTGTTAAATTGTCAATTGATGGGATGAAAACTTTTCATGCGTGCGTGTGTGCACGAGCACGCACGCGCCCCTTCATTCTTTTTTTCTTGATGATTATGTTTTTTTTTCTAAGGAAAACTGAAAAATAAAGAATAAAGGTTTAATTGTATTGAACGTTCACGATAATCTTTTATTATTATTAAAGGTATTCTTTGTATTACAGATGATACAGAATATATTGTTTATTATTGAATACAAAAGATTTTGTTGGCTAGTGACTACTACTGTAGAGATATGTAATTTGTCTAGTAAATGCGTAAAAATGAGATCATATAAACTTGATTTATGATATGTCACTTGTACAAGGGGGCATTGAATACATATGCACTACATAAGTCATTTGGTTTGTGTGTAGGCTATGATACTACCCGGGTGCTCAAACAGGAGTAGGTGGTTTTCTTAGGGGATTACATCCGGAGCCTTCGACCTGAAATTTTAATCCACAAGGTAGTGGAGCTACATCAGGATATGCACTTTCATGGTAACCAGTGACCAACAATAGGTTCATATGCCATTTATTCTCTCAGGATACTGGAGCCTATGTGCACTATTGGTTTGGAATGAGAGTTTTCCAACTTCCCTAGGTGGACTCTCCTTGTCCACATTCGCTTTCCGTCCTCTCAATTTCGTAAACAACACCTAGGGTGCGAGAAGGCAGTGAGTAAGAATTCTGTGGCAGTGGCCGTATACGCATGAGAGCATTTCGAGTTGGAGTTCTGAATCTTCCTACCCCTGGTCGTACCTCTGAAAATATTTGGAGGTTGTAATTTTCAACTATCTTGTTTCAAGTTTGGTTGAAATCATGAACACAACTAGTTTCATCGAGTTTATTCTGTTAACAATCATTCAAATAATAAATAGATAAAACGAAACCACAATATACCACACGTGTTTGCTATCTTCTCTGATATGAGTGTAATAATCTTACGTTGCTATATGATTAATGGGTTTACTCATTAGCTACTATGTACACTGTCTGATCATTGATTAGTAGATGACATCACGTTTTTCCGATCGTTAGCGTTGATATAATTCCCTTGATCAATTTCCGCTGTGACTACTATTCGACGCAACCTCCTGTCGCATGCGTTATGTTTTGGATGGTACATGGTTGATGGTAGTTGGCAGTTGATCCTGGACCTCTACTTAACGCTGTTTGCCATTTGTTACCAAGGTCTAGCTGAAATCCTGAGGGAAGTGATACTTTTTTAATAATTCGAACCCGCGTCGCCTAGTTTGACAATCTGAAATGTTTCTACCGAGTTGGTCAGATGATAGCTATACAGGGAGTATTTGTTCTTTCAAGATTGAGGGTACGCCGCGATGACAAGTGCTGATTAGCTTGAAACTTAGTGTTTCCTGCCGAATACTTTTCAACAAAGTAACACCTAATATGTGTTATTACAAAATGTGCCAACCTGAATTAATAAGATTATGTAATAGTTTTTACGTTGTTATGTCACAGTATAAAAACTTCCAATTAAATTTAGCATCTCCTCGTGTCTACTGTATATAAAGAAAATAAAGTGACTACTGAAGCTTAAATAAGTAGTTCGATCAAAATACAAAAAAAGAATTTATATGAATAGAAATACAATAGGTGTGTCATAACATCGAGCAATTAAAAAAGCAACTGTTAAAACACACATGTATCATTGTTTAACTTTAATTTGTTAATTCATCATAAGCACTTGATCAATTAGTCAATGTAACTGCTGAATGATAACTTGGAGGACTTGGAATTCTATATGGAATTGGTGATAGAGAAGGTTTTGAAAAATTTCCAAATTGTGGAATAGGTGCAGAAGGATATGGAGTAGGCAATGACGATGTTGTCGGTACTGGTTTAAATGGTTGACGTGGATATGGAATCTAAAAAAGAAAAAAATACTTATGAAGACTATCAATCAACTTATCACTAATTACATATTCATGTACTCAGTTTCAAGCCATACTACATGTATCAGGGTTTATGATAGTACCTAGTGGGAGAAGTAAGACTTGAATTTGAAACTGAATAGGTCTTTATCATTAAACCATGTCTGAAGTGAGGGTTCAAATTTGAAATGAAATGGTCTCAAGTTTCAGAGTACCGATCTAGTTATTTCGCGTTTAACAACCGGATAGTATCACTACTTACTTACGCCTGTTACTCCCAATAGAGCATAGGCCGCCGACTAGCATTCTCCAACCCACTCGGTCCTCGGCCTTCTTTTCTAGTTCCATCCAATTCTTGTTAATTTTTCTCATGTCTATTTCCATTTCTCGGCGTAATGTGTTCTTTGGTCTTCCTCTTCCCCTTTGAACTTGAAGGCTCCAAGTGAGGGCTTATCTTGTGACGCAGTTGGGTGCTTTCCTTGCTGTGTGTCCTATCCACTTCCAGCGCTTCTTCCTAATTTCCTTCTCCACCGAAATCTGGTTTGTTCTCTCCCACAGTAGGTTGTTGCCAATGGTGTCCGGGCAACTGTTAATAAACACCTGTATCTTCTGGATGATGGCTTTCGTAGTTCTCCAGGTTTCCTCCCCATACAGTAGAACTGTCCTGACATTTGTATTGAAAATCCTGACCTAGGTGTTGGTTGGCAGACAGTTGGTTTAAGTTCCAGATGTTCTTCAATTGTAAATATGCTGCTCTTGCTTTGTCGATCCGCGCCTTCACATCTGCATCAGATCCACCGTGTTTATCATTGATGCTGACCAAATATGTAAAGGTTTTTACGTCTTCGAAATTTTCTCCGTCAATTGTGATTGGATTGGTGCATGCTGTGTTGTGTCGGAAAATCGTGCTTTTTTCTTTGTGTATATTGAGACCTACTGCTGCTACACTGGTCGTTTTCTCCTGCATTTGTTGTTGCATGTGCCTTGATGATAAAACTGAGACTTATATCTAAGTAGATGAATCTATACTTGCTTTAAAGAAATTAACTATTCCTTATATAAAATCTTCCAATGATTGCATAAACTAAACACAATATTAAAAGTTTCAATAGATCTGTTGTATAATCAAAAAGTATTCAATATAATTATCAAAGCAAAAGATTAGTACAGCTTTCCTCTTTTTTACCTTCCTATGAAATCTTGGAAAAGAAATTCTGCGTAACTAATCAGTCGAGTCATAAGGATGGCTTCTCACGAGGACAAACAAATCGTGACCGAATTCACGTGTAGCATACAACTTAAAGTTATATCAAGTGGTATAACGCATCAAGGAAATTAAGGAGCTGCAGACTGAATCCCTAGAATATCTAAGAACAAAATTAGTAGGTATGAAACATCATTACAGTCATTGATGAAGTTCCAGCATTACTGGTCTAATTATACAGTGAAGAAAATGTCAATAAGAAGAAAGTAGTGATTGTTTGTACAACAGATAAAACATTGAAAGAGGAAAAAAAATAGGCAAAATGTGAACTAACATCTTTATAAAATTCTGGATCACGACATCGATAATCCCGTTCATCTTGAATCGATTCTTGTATAATTAATAATGCACTAGTTAAAAAACCACTGCATATAATTAATGGTATACTAAAAACTAAGAAAAATGTTCCAGCGATAGTACCAGCGTATTGAGATGAACTAAATAAGAAATTTACAAAAATAAAATCAATCAATCTTCTATTTAATAAGTCACAATAACAGAAACATTGATCATCTAACGTTATGAATAAATTGGATAATACTGTAATGAACGAGAACAACAGTGGGGACAATCAAAATGTATATGAATATAACATTGCAGAGTATGTTTGTAAAATCTGAGAACCATACAGGAAAAAATCAATCAATTGTCTTAGACTTAATGGTTCTTTAATTTACACACCATTTACTCTCGTTTGTTTCTCTTCGATCTTAACCTTTTATCACCAGATATTTCACTTTCGATTAATGATATATACTAATATCTGTCGATATCAGTAGCACACACTACAATAGTACCAATGTGCTCAAACCGAAGTAGGTGAATGGAGATTCAGACACAGAACCTTGTGGTTGGAAGTCGAATGTCTTAACCACTGACAATTGACCTAAATAACCTTGATTGGTTTAACATTTTCATACAAATATTCATGTATATTAGAGTAAAGCCTGATGACGCTTACTTGTGTTGTTCTAAATATGTAATTACAGGATCTCTTGGCAAAAATATGAGAACCATATACTGAATACTTCATTTGAGTGTTCTCATCATTTGTTCTTCATATTCCGTATGATTCTTCCAAATGATGATTCCTTTCTATTTCCGTTTATTTTCTTTAAGCCGACCTTCATAGCCTTTCGCTGCCATGCATTTTTCTTCTGATTGTTGTTACATACTACGTATGTCTGTCAACATATGTAGCATGCACCACAGTAGTATGTTGAAAATTAACAAAGAATTCAATATTTCTGGTTGTTTAGTTATTTGTTCATTGAATCAGTACAAGTTCAGGCAATCAAAGAAAGTTATTGTGCTATTGAGGTAAACTGTTTTAAATTTTTTTCTTTTTCTAAAAGTTTAAACATAACTTCTATATACAATTGATTGATCATTGAATAGTGACCAATGTCATGAATTTCAAATCTTTCTTAGTGTCAATAAAGTTCTATCGATCAAGTTCCAGTAACCTGACATCGCATGCACAATAAGGAAGTGTGAGGTAGTATTTGGAGGTAGTCAACAGTAAACATTAGACCGAGGTTTCGTGTCATTCTGGTACCCATCAGTAAAGTTTGCCAGTAACTCTGAGGGAACTGATGTTTCCTGGAGAATTAAATCCCATATCATCACTCAATTGTAAATAAATCTTAATCCTATATCAGTTCAGTCGCAGTCCAAATTTTTTTACATTGAAATAGTCGTAGGTTTGCTTAGAATTTGTTGACTGATTACAACTCTCTGAATGAGCTATTACATATAAAGCAACTCAGCAGTCTTTCTATCGTTGTAGAATAGATGGAATATGGCCAGCAATGGGATCCAGAAAGTACGTTCCACCTTATATGGGACTTGTCAGTTGGATGTGTGGTGTGTGCTACTGATGTCGATATATATATAAGTAGTATGTGTTATTAATCGAAAGTGAAATTCTTAGCGTCATAATGTTAGGAAGATCAAAGAAAAGAGAACGAGAACAGAGTGATTAGTGTGAAAATGAAGAAACAGTTAAGTCTGATACAACTGATTGACATTTTGCAAATGAAGTATCTACTATATGGTTCTAAGATTTTACTAAAAAATTATGTAATTGTGTGTTCAAATACATTCGATTTTCCCCATTTGTGGATAAAAAGATGGCGTTTGAAGTGAACGGTGTCAGATTAGAGTCCTAAAGTGAACATTAACTCTAGGATGCAGGTACATCTAGATGACAAGTCCAAAACAAAATAAAATACGCATCCCGTATTCCACCTTTTATCTACATTATAAATAGTCAACGACTTATTCTCTGTTCAATTGATAGAGAGAAATACAATTGGATAGAATAGATTAACATGGATCAACTTATTCATTCTTAAAATCAATACTAATTTTGCACAAATACACACACGTATAGAAAACAAAATCCTATAAACAATCATATCATCATGCATAATATAATCATCATCATGGATGCATACTGTTGAGGAGTCTCTCACAATAGAATCAAACAACCGTCCAATGCTTTCAGGTTTTCCAATAATGGTCTAACTTTAATTGACTCATCATCTCAACTATTAAAATAATTTTCACCGATTGAAATCATGAGCCAGTTGAAGCTAGACCACCATTGAAACCTGGAAGCACTGGACGGCCGTTTCGTCCTAGTATGGGACTCCTCAGCAGTGCGCATCCACGATCCCGCACCCCGCGGGATTCGAACCCAGGACCTACCGGCTTCGCGCGTGAGCATTTAACCATTAATTAATTAGCTTAAAATTAGATGAGTAGAATTTCAAATGTCTCTTCTGTTTGTTTTATTTTGCAGACTGATTAGTTAAAAACAAACACAATGGTGTATTACAAATTTAATGTAGATCAGTTAGAGATTGTAATTAGATTTTAATCATTTCTAATACTGACATCAACAAAAACAAAAACATCCCTTGAACCCACCCATAAAAACATTATGAGATTCTAAACAAAGAAAGTTTTAGAAAAAACTACAATATTTAAACAAACCAAATACATTAATTAAGAGTATAAGATCCAAGTATTAAAGGTTTGAGTTCAATTCTGTGTTAGAATTAACAATATTAGTTTTACTATAAACAATTATATAGAGTAGAGTATAATTTGAAGATAGAATGATATGATTATCAAATGAATATGTGATTATGCCTGATGGAACGGAAAGTTTGCTCTTCCACCTAAAGTGTTCTTACATAGGTCATATGTATACAGCCACTATCAGAGAAGTACTACTCATTGTTATCTCGTGAAGAGGAGGTTATTTTAGAGAAATGGAGATGAAAAGAGAATGTTTAGATAGAGCTTAAGCCGGGGTCGGTGGATACAGAGGATCCAATTAGAGGGGAGTTGGAAAACCCTGATTCCAAACAAACAGTGTACATGGGCTCTAGTATCCTAAAGGGGAAAATGGTGTATGAACTCATCCCTGATTACCAGCTACCACTAGACCGCATTTCCTAATGTTGATCCATTGTTTAGTGGACTATACCTCTGGGGTCAAAGAATTAGATTGTTTTATTTATCTATTTTTTAAAACACATAAACATTGGTACAAGGAGACATCAAATAGATATGCACCACATAAATCATTCGATTTGTGTGAGGGCTTGGATACTGCCCGTGTGACCAAACCGAAGCAGGTGATTTTCTTAGGGGACCATAACCGGAGTCTTCGACTTAAAGGCCTGATCCATAAGACAGTGGAGCAACCTAAGGAGATGTAGTCCCATGGTAACCGGTGACCAATAATTGGTTTATATGCCATTTGTTCCTCCAGGATCCTAGAACCTATGTACACCATTGGTTTGGAATCAGGATTTTCCAACTCCTCTAGGTGGACTCTCCGTGTCCAACAACTTGGTTAAAGCCTCTGCCGGACATTCGCTTTTCGTCTTCTCAATTTCGTAAATAACACTCGTAGTGTGAGAAGGCAGTGATTAGGACTTCCCTGACAGTGGTTGTATACGCTCTCATTAGTGGTATATGTCCATTTTACGGGGATAGCTTCAATATAGCCATCTTATTACAAGTGAACATTAACATTTCAATTCAGATCTATAGCTAGCTGATGAGTCCCAAATATAAAAAGAAACGTGAATCCTGGATTCCAATATTAGTCATAATCCATATATTCTATTAGATATACTCATGTTCAAACATCTAAATGATCTATATACTAAAGGTATAGACATTGTATAGTATGATAATGATAATAATCATAATCATCATAATAATAAAAGTATAGAAAATATAAACTTACTCATTTAAATTATGATACATAGACAGTACTGTTATACCTATTATTAAAAATATAATAGATAAAATCCAAAATACTATAACTGATGTACGAACTCGTTCAACTAGTTTCTCTCGTTTAGTATCATCTTCATTAGAGGTGACCATCATACTAGAAATATAAGTTAAAATACAATTTGTATTAGGCATATTAAAATAAAACTGTTAGATGAATAGTTAAATTGAATGAATGAATGAATTGAAATCGTGAGTCAATTGAAGCTAGACCACTATGGAAAACCTATCAGCATTGGACGGCTGTTTCGTCCTAGTGTGGGACTCCTCAGCAGTGCGCATCCACGATCCAGGTTTTCCATGGTGGTCTAGCTTCAATTGACCCATGATTTCAATCTGTGAAATTTCTAAAATCTCCACAAACTCCTTCCGATAATGAATGAATTACATAATCACATATATTAAAGTAAGAAAAATAAGTAACATTTATACAAATTTGTAATAGTATAAATGTAAATCCAAGGTAACTAACTTATTTTATTTAAGTGTGTGACATATATCATATCTGGTCTTCTATAATCAATAAAAGCAACATAGAAAACACATTCAAGATGACCAATTTGAGAGATGAAGAAAAACACCACTAACACGTGCTGTTTTATTCAATGATAATAATAATAATAATGGGAAAATCAATAGTAACAACAATGATAGTAATAAGAATGGTAGTAATAATAATAATAGTGATAGTAATAATAATCACGGTAATGAAAATCATAGTAACAGTAGTGATAGGGATAGTTATAATAGTAATAATAGTAATCGCAATGATAACAATAAAGGTAACAAATATGATGATAATAATAATAGCAGTAATAATAGCAATAGTAATAATAATAATAATAGTGACAATAATAATAGTGATAATGATAGTAAAGGTAATAGTAATGGTACTAATAACAATAGTGATAATGATACTAATAGTAATAATCATTTATTGTTTTATTTAAACACATAAACATTGGTACAAGGAGGTACCAAATAGATATGCGCCACATAAATCATTCGATTTGTGTGAGGGCTGTGGTACTGCCCGGGTGCCCAAACCGAAGCAGGTGGTTTTCTTAGGGGGCCACACCCCGAGCCTTTGACCTAAAGGTCTGACCCACAAGGCAATGGAGCATCGTAAGGAGATGCAGTCCCATGGTAGCCAGTGATCAACAATTGGTTCATACGCCATTTGTCCCTTCAAGATACTGGATCCCATATGCACCAGTGGTTTGGAATTTGGTTAAAGCGCCGGACATTCGCTTTTCGTCCTCTCAATTTCGTAAACAACACCCCCTTTGTGAGAAGGCAGTGAGTAGGACTTCTCTGGTAGAGCCTGTATACGCGTGGCCGTGTGAGAGCATTTCGAGAGGGGAGGTGGGCCCACCCCACTCTCGGCCATACCAGGGCATTTGGGGGCAATAGTAATAATAGTAATAGCAATAATGATAGTAATAATAATGATGACAATAATAACAATGGTAATAATAATAGCAGTAATAATGATGATAGTGGTAGTATTAATAATAATAATAATAATAATAAAAATAATGGTTATAATAATAGTAATGATAATGATATTAATAAAGTAATAACATTCCACTGATGACAATGAGTACGTGATTTCCAATCAAACTATTCAATGGCCTTTTTGCTTCATTTTAATTCTGGAATTAATTTATTTTCGGGGGAAAATTACCTATTATTATTATTATTGTTAACACTCTTTAATCGATAATCAATCAGATTAACCGTTTCATTTCTTCATTAATAAGTATAATTATATAATAGAAATACACTAATTAATAAGTTTAGTCTTATGATAAGTTATCATTAGATCACGTTACATTAGTCATGTTATTCATTGATTGATAATTACTAAGCTTTTATTCAAGTCATAGGGATTACTTTAGTTGTTGATTAAAGAAAATTATGTTCCGTTAAATGATGTGGAAAACATTAAAATTATTGAGATTTTCCATGTGTATGCATTGCAGATTATGTTTTCTTTTAGTAACCTAAAACGTTTATGAATGAAGATGATTTCAATGAGACTATCATTTATGGACAAATCAATCAGGTATTATAAGATAACAAGTTTCAAATTTTGGTGTGAAATTCACCCATCTATCTGGTTAAATAGAGTTTCGGCATCATCATTGATGTCAGTTCGTGATGAGAAAACCTTAAATCTAATTCCTAACTCCTAACCATCAAGTGTAAATCATAATTCGAATTCCTTACACTCATTTATAACCCTCAGTTATCATGTGGACACTCTCAAGGTCACATTAGCGTCGTTCAAAGATTGTCCATAAATCAGTCTCACCAGATGATTCAAATAATTCAAAGATTTTAGTGAAGAGCAAAAAATATATATCTATTTAAAACTAGTGTTTTGAAACCAAATATGGAGAACCAAGTTCATAGTATTAAGAGATCTCATTACAAATGATGGAATTATATACAGCAATAGGATATACTAATTAAATCTATTATTGTGATACTATACCAGTAAAATCGTTGAAGATGGTAACTATGATTGGGAAGCAATTTATTGATATTACAATGAAGTAGTCATCAGGATGAAAGAGAGTGAGATAGACAATATAAATACTACAGCCACAATATGAACAAATGCAAGGCATTTTTAGACTGGCTGAAACCAGATCTATGGAAACATTTCCTAATAGTTCAGACTATGCATAAGTACATATATTTTCCTTTATTTTGGAAAAACTAAAAAAGTATTCATAGGCAAGAAAGAAATACAAATGCATATACGGATACTTAAATCAGAATTCGAGAGTAGTTCATAATGAGGAAAATGCTGATGTCACTTAAAGTCTAAAACTCAATGGTATAACTGATAAGTTAGCTGTGATTTAGTGTTGAAAGATATATAATTCTCAACCATACAGTCATCACTGATTCAAAACCTTACTTCATCTGCCCCTGATTGAGCAGTCGAGCAGTATCACTAGCTATCAAACAAAGAGGTTTGACCTAAAAACTAGTGCATACATTTGTAATTAGTCATTGAGCTGAGTTGTATGACAATTAATTTATAACAAGTCTATCGACAGATCAAAAACAGGACCGATTAGCTGGCAATATATATAGTTCTTTAATACTATTATTAAGTGAAGTATCTATTTTTGTGTCTATCAATAGTTTAAAACCTTTGATTAATACAGGAGCTTGGCATGAAGTTTATATGATGAAGAATACCGAACAAAACAATACTGTCTGTCGAAAATGGATGATAAAAAAAACAGAACAGAAATTAAACTACATATCAAAAGTTTTAAAAACAGGAATAATACTTATATATTTTAAAATGAGTGATACACATTAAATGCACTCTGATGATGTATGTATAGAATATTTGTGGAAGATAGTGGATTTTTCTCTTTAAAATCAAGAAGACAACTGAAAGAAAATCCTACAATGATTCACTACTGTGCTGGCAGATGCGACGGCACTGTATGTAATCTAGACAGTTTGAATTAAAAACAGATAGGAAGGTAATCATCAACTTTACATTAGACTTATTAAGAAAATATGATTGTTTGAAAATACATTGGGATGATGATCATTATAACAAGTTTATCACGAATTTTTTATAATCCATCTTATGATGCGATATAATATATACACTGTTAATCCCCCTTTCATGAGAGCTTGTTGAAATTCCAAATGGGATATCCGTTTTTCAAGTCTTATAAGACGATGATCAACAGACACGTGTTCGTTATTACCAGTGGAGGAAGATCTTGATACACGAAGGCGTTCTTGTGCTCGATGACTAGAAGTTTCACAGAATACTCCAGCAGAAGCTTTAGCCTTAGCTGAACCATCTGACGACTGAGAAGAAGCTTGAGCTTGAGCACTAGAACGGGATTAAACAAAATATGATATATTTAAGGATTATTCCATAGGATCAGTACATGAAATATTTATATTCATCTAAAAATAACGTAACTACGATAACACAACTATGAGCTATAATTATGTGAGTATGTAACTAAGCTAAACATTTGATGCTATTCTAACCTTTATGTATTTGTTCTACATAAAAGTTCAGTTCGAAAATGCGAAAAGGTTGAGAGCATGCGCAGTAAATATAATTGATAAAACATTGCTGTAAAGTTATACACACACTGGCCAGTCAATCATATGCAATGTAGGATCTGGCACATGTGCACATCAGTTCAAGTTACCACACTCCAATAGCACAACAAATCCCAGAGTGATAGAGGTAATAAAAATATTGATGGTAATAAAGATTAGGCATCGAAGATACGATTCAAGCAAGTATAAAGTAAGAAAATCATAAGGAATTTAGAAACCTGGGATCTAATGGAAGTCAAAGAATATGCGCACTCGTGTTATTATTTAAAATGTTGAGTCATGTAAAACAAAGTCTAACCATTGCTTACGATATTTATGTGGACCTAAACTAGACAGTCTACATCTACCTATGATCGCAGGTGTCATCGAGCATCGCTCGTATATTTTGGGACCTCTGAGTAAGCAATGCCTGGCTTAGGAATACAGTGCTAGCTTAGGATGGGGAATTGATTGATGAGGTAGTAAATCCTCATCAACTGAAGTGGTTGGAAGATGTGTTACATGTGCCCAACCACCGTCTACCTCGAAGGGCATGTTTTCCAATATACGAGTAGGCTGAAAGAAAGCTAGGGGCAGCCAAACCAAGACATGGGACCACTTCGTGAAGTCATCAACAAGTGGAATGAGTCATGTAAATAGGTGAATCAAGATTGTTTGAAATACCTCAAGTGCATTAATTATTTTGCCTTCCCTCGAATTCTAGACTTCTAAAGTCCTTGTATTTTCTTGAATCGTATCTTCGATGTCTATTGTTTTCTTTTACTACTGATATTGGCACTTCTAATATTCTGAGGATTAGAGCAACAGTTTTATCTTTCTGTGCTATATACATAGTACAGCAACTTGAACCGATTTATATATATACGTACTAGGTTCTAGGTTGCGACTGAAATCTAACTATATGGTTCAGTTCAACAACTGGTGTCGCAATGGACTGATGCTGTCTTGGTTTGGCTACCTCTAGTTTTCTTCCAGAATACCTCTACACCAGTCATCATCCCCTATCAAAATATTCGGTGGATGGGGTTAAGTAACGCATTTTCCAAACATCCAAATCTATAAAGATTGACCTCGTTTACCGATTTACAATACCTACCTAATACTCTGGGTTCAACATTGAAACTACTGGCTCAATAGCCCAAAAATAAACGAGCATTGGTACTAAGACATAATGGACGAAAAAAATCTTGAAAGCTCAATTATCTTACGAGGTTTACGTGGACATTAGAGATGGGTACTACCTTACATTCTTCAGAATTTTAAAACTTCATAAGCTAATTGTAAAACACCGTTAGAGAGGAAGGCTACAGATAAGTTGCACAAGTCCCTGTAGCTTTTTGATGCTTGAATACCACCGTATACCTGAAAAACGGTATACGGGGTAAGCCCCAATTAAAAGTTGAATTTAACCAAGCATTGAAAGATAAGCGCGTACTTGAAAACACAAAGTGACCGGCTTTGTTGTTCACACAATCTCAGCAATGACTTGAAGGTTCATGTGCTAGGTTAACAGAATACCTACTACGCTCAATAGTCGTTCTGTTTGGACAATGAACAATAAAATTTGTGTCCAGTTCACTTGGCTTCAGACGTCTATTTTAACAAAATGACCACATGCGACAGAATTGCATCGGTCAAACGAAAGATCAGATTTTATGTGGATAACTAATTTATTTAGACTCTGTCATCTTACTAGGATTTTTACCGGAAACACAGTACTCTGGAAAATAAGCAGTGTTAGCCAGAGCTACGACGAGTGAAGAATAAACATGTCAGAAGTGAAGCCTCAGAAAGACAGTCTAAGCGGAATTATTTTGCATTGGCTTAGTGAATATACTAGACTTTGCATTACGAATGAACCTGATTGCTAATAAGTAGAATCACGATGCAGATGCATAGCTTTATGAAACTTACCTGCAAACTAATTTCGAGCGAATGTCACTGTTTTTCAGTAGATCAGGACTATATCCTAGGGCGTACTCTGATGAGCGTTTGGCATCTAAAACTGTAAAGTAAGTATAATTAAGTTTCGCACTTAAATCTGCAACTGGATAATTGCGAAAAGAAACATCATGACCTTCACTGAGTGTTGCTGAATTATCGGAGTCGTATGAAAGTTTTTCTGGGATACGCATCTTCTTGTTGATATCAGTTGTATAGTCAAACTCATAAGTAGAGAGCCTTGGATACAGATCATCCATCACATACAAAATAAGCGCTTATTTGGAAGTGGTCAAGGTCACAAAACTGGTTTGTTTAAAAACTGTAACGAGTAAACTACAGTACCTCGTGTCTCAAGTATTATGAATCTACTCAATCAACTTATATGAAAAGTCACATAAAAATCATGTGTATATTCTTCAATAATGAGGTTAGGAGGTCAAGTGGTCTTCACAAATTGTGGTACTATGGGGTGAATTTATCCGCAACGCAACCATGTAAACTTAATGTATCGCCTAGGGTCATCCGTGCGTTCAAGTAACAACAGATGTATTTTTGATTAAATAACTAGATTATGTAGATAATTTTGTTGTTTTTAATTTTTATTCGCCAGTTCCGACTGCGTTGCACTGTACGTCCATTGCACGCAATTCATAGTGAGTTTATTCACATAGTTGATTGTTTCCAGATAGACTGTCATTGCATGATTTTACTGAAGAAAGGTTTTTTGTACTGTAAACTATGTCTTCATGAACAACTGACTGTTGCCTTCAACCTGAAAGTAATATATATATCCTTTATCTTCTGTTAGGTAAGTTCAACTGGCCTATATTTCGTGTTTTGGTTTTATAGGCTTAATTATGTCCATTTAACTACTTTGAGCAACATGTCTTTGCAAGTGAAACAATAACTATGACACTTGCTTAGTTTAGTATTCTTGGTTGCCGTTATAATTTAGATTAGTCGATAGAATTATAGTATACCTAAGTGTAGTGCTTGAAGCCTGTAACGAAACAGATCAGTTTAGTAAGTAGAGTTACCTGCTTCTAATGAGTATACTGATTCAGATCAGTGTGATTAAAAATAGGAAAAAACGAGCCTTTAATGCTGTTGCTGCTGTAGCGGTAAATAAATCCCCAAAATAAATAGCTCTATAAGTTTCCGACATTGGATGCTGACCATATGTTTTAGTGGACTCATCTAACTAAAGGCGCTCGGTCATGCGTCCGCACCAGATCACGTGCGGTAACGCTGTGCTGATCATCTACCGTAATCGCTGACCAGATTACATCAGAGAATTCCGATATATTGGTAATCGCCAAATACACCCTCCCCATCTCTTCGACTCTGTCTTTTGATTTCTCTCGGTGGGTACAATTTATATTACAAGGTGTTGCTGGTAAAAGCGTTGTCAAACACTGAATACCTATGACGTCTTCACTGTTATGTATGATAAGATAGCGATAAGTATGTTTGGTGTTTATTTCTAAATTGTACATCTATCACTGACCATATTTCATGATCACTGTCATTAAACGATTTCCCCAGCAATAACATCGGTAGCAAGATAGCTAAGTGCCTGAGCTTTTAGTTGTCCGCAAACACAGCAGTATACAGTCTTAGAAGATCAGTGTTCTGTGTCTCAATTAAATGCAGCTGGTTGTGAACAAATTTTAAGAATTTTTTGACAATTTGGACTTTTAGTTTATCAGACACTCACTCTGTTTGTATGTTTTTCTGTTAAACTAGACGCAGATGCATGAAGATACTTAAATGGGAGCAAAATAATAAAAGCATTTCAATGCGGCACCAAGCCCATGTGATGCTTTGCACGAGTAATAGTAGCTGACCTCATCTAATATTCATGAACTCAAGGTAAGTCACAACTGCATAAATTCTTTGCTAAAAAACATGTAATTTGTTTATTTATCTATTTCACATTTCTGACTAAATTCATCACTATTTTTTCATTTAGAATGCAACAGGAGTGAGCCTTCACAGATCCTAAAAACTGTTTCGACCCTAGAACTATGGCCCTATGGGACTGTTTACGGGAGACCAAACTAACAGCAGATTATAAAAAGGATGCTGGACATCCATTTTAGTCTCACAACCACTTCCAAAATTTTTTCGACTTCTTTTACTCATTCGTTTGGAAAAAAACAACAAAATCTACAGCCTAATATTACCAATACAACTTTTAAACGGGAACTTGGTTTAAACCTTTGTTGGATATTCGATTCTTAATGAAAGTTCTTGAATAAATTTTTGAATCTAATGCTACTTTGTCTTATCTACTTAATCGTTGCAAGAAAGTTGTGACAAGCGAGCCTCTCAGCACCTAGTTCATGTGTTCGAATGGTTGTGGACTGAATAGAAGCTTTCGCTTAACAGGCTTCCGTGTCTAGTAGCAGCGGATCAGCAAAACCTCCAGGTAGGAACCTAGGTATGTTAACAATAAAAGAGGAAAAAGAAAGTGGTAAATCATAGTATGATACTATCCTTAATCCTTAAGAATAGATCCGGTTGCTTCTTAAAGGACTCCTGGGAAGTCGCTTGGACTAGTGCAGTCGGCAGCGAATTCCATCATTTAACAACTTTTAAGGAGTAGAAGGTGTGTCTACAATCCGCTCTGCTATGCTATATCTCTAGTTTCTGGGACTAAGCTTAAGTAAGTGTTTAATAGAATGTCCAGAAGTGTTAAGAATACTGTAAGCCAGTAGAAGGTCAACTCTAAGACGTCTATGCTCTAATGAGTAGAGGTTAAGTGATTGGAGGCGCTCTTCATAGTGATTTGGTACATATCTTCGTCATTTTCTTTGGAAACCTACAGACTCGAGTCCTCTCACAACTTATTCTAGCCACCATGGGTTGTCACGCCAGCTAATGGATGGACACGCGTTACACATCCTAACCATCCCTGCGTCTAATCTCATAGCTTCTTATCCAAATGTCATATGATAAGCAAGTAATGCCTCTACCGACTAATGGAACATGAGTAACTCAAAGGCACCCTGTATGGTACCTTACATTGGTCTACGCACTCACTTAGCTCTTTAGTGAGAATATTACTACAGTCGTTCTAAAAATCCCATGAACCCCACCTACCTCCATTAAAACAATAAGTCTGTATTTGCTGCATACAGCAATTTTATTTTTTAGAAGATAGAACAGTTAGAATTGGAGTAAAATGGCAGTATATAGCATGTGCATGTAGTACATGTCTTTATTGATTAACTGAAATAGAGAATACGGATTTCAGCTTAACAGGCTTATTTAGAAAGATTATTGTCTACTTTGAACTTACTGCGTGAGAAAGTTATACTGGAACTACGAATAATGTAGGAATCTAGTCTCCCAGGGCGTACGAAGCACTCAGACTGGAAGACAGTTGTCCAAAAATAATTCGAAATGAAGGTGAGAATGTGCAGGTACTTTTCATCGTAAGGGTGAACATATTAGGTACCGGTTGACATCATACCGTAAAAAAAAATTTGCGAGGGTTGAAATATGATCTATAAAAAAGTGAGCTTAATAACAGTTAATTACCTTTTTACTTCCTGATCATGACCCTTCGGCTTTCTTTTATGGCCAAAACAGCAAACATACACTACACACTGGTAGCAGATTTCCGGCGTTTCAATGTTAAGCTAGCTTTAACGCACTGAGTAATGAGTACTACCCCTCTATTACTGTTATATGGCATATTTTTCATAACAAACCCTCTGCAATATATTGGTAGCATCTGTGACTTCGTCTATGGTTGTCGGAAGTCTGGGTCCTTTCGAAAACAGTACTGATATCCCCTACTGCTTGGCACTGAGTATTAGTTTGTCACGTTGGTGGGACAGTGTTGTCCATAATACTGAGGAAAATTAAAAACAGGAGATTGTTTTCTTTCATTTTGCCGATAACATCATAGAGGACAATTATGAATGAACATACGGACAGTTAGTCACAGGCAGCAGCAGCAATTATTTTAGCTAAAAAAACGAACTTCGGCCTTGGATGTGTAGAAAACAAGTCAAAACAAAACCGATTAACATTTTATAACACAAGACTAGCCAGCTTGGCTGAAGAAATACATTGACTTGGGTAGAAGCAGCAAAAACCCAGAAAAAATCGCCGATTCGAAATAAATTTCACACTAACATTTAGAACATTACACTAACTGCGTAATTTTAGCACACCGAAACATCAAATTACATAGCTGCACAAAAGAAATAGCTGAAAAAGCACAGAACGAAGGAAGCCGACCGTCATTGCTTACAAAGATGGCGGATATAACAATTCCCACCTCATTCTGATTGGTTGCTAAGCTAAAGAGCACATTTACGAAATTGAGTTGCGTTTAATTGCAGCCAGTACTATGAAGATCGAATCTCGTTTTAAATGCATCGTCATGTGATGATATTGAGCGTTCTGATATAGGATTCACCTTATTCGCTATTCAATGCGAAGAATGAATTTCCTGACGTAAACTATGTAATCACGGTTTTTGAACTGATGCTTAGCCTTGAATAGGAGGAAATGACGGAATATATCAATACCAAAATCATCGTATAGTGCGCAGCAAGCCAGTAATAAGTCACCAGGCAACCTGAGGTAAGTCAATTTAAATATGTTCAGATACTTCAACCTATCGCTATAAAGAAGGGCTCTGATAACTTTTACCATTTCGATCCCCGGCTATTGAAGTCGTTCTAGTGTATCAGCTTCTTACCTGAAACAAGGATTCACCACCTGAATCCTAATCAAGTGAAGACAAATTCGTGCTTCATTCTGTCTCGTAAATATAGTAAGGTTAAATGAATTTTTAAAACAATCTTTATCATCATTTACACGTTTCATAACTTCACTTAAGTTGTACAGTTGTGAATGCGCAATATAGAACGTTTATGTCTTCATGCGACATTTCTTTATACTCTCTGATTAATGATTTGTAGGTATCATTATCAAGGTTTGATTTGATAATTTCGAATAAATTGAGCATTGGGTTGATTATTATAATTAAAAATAATATAATTGTAATATCCCAGTGAGTAGAAAATTGGATTTTCTGACGTTTCGTGACTTAGCGTAAGTCACTTCTTCAGGGAATAAATAACCAAACTAAAATTAATCCGAGTTTAAATAGTACAACGGAACAATGCAAGAATAATAGTTGATCAATCAAAAACACTTCTGAACAAGTTGATGTCATGTCATTTCTGTCAAGGTGATTCATAAGTGATATGTATGTAAATTTGTGTGTGTATGTATGTGTGCATTGTTTAAGAATGAAAACTTGTGTGACC